TCTCCACTTGCAGCTCTACTATGCATTCAAAGCACAGAACCACGTGGTCGCTAGCTCCTAGGGGACTCTCATACGTGATGTCCTCAATGTCTGAACTGCCCAGGGTGAACACAAGGTCCAATCTTGCTGGTTCATCCTCCCCTCTCACTCTGGTAGTGTCCTTAACATGTTGGTGCATGAAGCTTTCCAGCACCACGTCCAACACCTTGGCTCTCCATGTTTCGGAACCCCCATGTGGCTCCAGGTTTTCCCAGTCAATCTTCCTGTGGTTGAAATCCCCCATAACCAGCAACTTTGCTCTGCTGGAGTGAGCTCTTCTTGCCACCTCAGCAAGTGTGTCCACCATTGCTCTGTTGCTCTCTTCATATTCCTCTCTTGGCCTCCTGCAGTTCTGTGGTGGATTATACATCACTGCAATGACCACCTTGTGTTCCCCAGACTGAAGTGTACCTACTATGTAGTCTCTTTCTCCCGTCTCATCCATGCCTTCCATTTTCTCGAATTTCCATCTGTTTTTTATGAGCAGAGCAACCCCACCTCTCCCTGTGCCCCTTCTATCTTTCCTCATGATCTGGTATCCTGGTGAGAAGACTGCATCTGTTATTGTCTCCGTGAATTTTGTTTCTGTAACTGCTATGATGTCTGGGGACTTCTAATTGATTCTTTCTTGCCATTCCTCATGTTTATTCGTTAATCCATCTGCATTTGTGTACCAAACCTTCAACTTCTGTTCTAAAACTGTAACTGTGGTGAGGGGGGGTGGGAACAGAGGGACTGGTGTGTGATGGTTGGTTTGGATTGTTCAGTTGCCTTAGGGGTGTCATGGCTGAGTCCTTCTGCAGGTGTTTCTGAGGGGTGCTTGTCCTTCCACTTGTTCCTGGGTTATTCTGCTCTCCTTTTTCATTTCCTCCCATTGCTCCTTTCGTTTTTGAACTCTCTCTTTCGTCTTCCTTTCCTCCTGTGTTCTGTCTCGATCGAGGTACACACTCATGAACTCCTGCTTGCCTCTTAGCCGTGATTTCTCCTGCAGGATCATGGTTCGGGTTGATTCTGCCTTGAAAATTACTTTGAGAGGCCAATTCCTTTTCTTTGTGAACCACCTGATTCTCCGAAAATTTGCCACCTGGGTCATGTCCCCCTCGCCTATCACCTTCATGATACCTTCAATTGCTTTTTTCTCCTCCTGCTTTCTTTCCTCATAAGTTTCCCCTTTAGCTTCATCTAGCCCATAGACAAACACTGATCTCTCCCTTTCCACCTCCCATTGTGACTCCCATTGCATCCTCTGTGTTTTAGTTCCTTCCCGTGGAGTGTTCCTTCCTTCAGTCCCTTCCCTAGCTATGGCCCCTATGCTCCTTGGTTTGTCCTTCCTGCTCACCTGTTCCTGCCCCCCACAGGTGTCTGGTAAGGTCCCTGCACATGTCCTAGTTACTTCAATGTCTTCCAACCACTCATTCTGTCCTAGTGTGCTCCCTGTCTTTGTTTTGGCCCCATGTGGGTTTGACAGGACCTCTGCATACAGTTTAGTTTCCATGTTCCCTTCAGACCCGTTGTCTGTGTCTGATGTAGCCATTATCGATGCTATTTCTGTAATATCTTTGTCTCTATGCTGTTTCAAATGTCTCAGCTCCTCTTCTAATCTCTCTATCTTGTTTTCTGCTGCTGTGGCATGTTGCTTCCACCTTCTGCATTCTGCTGTTAACCTCTCTTCCATCTTCCTTGCCAGCTCATCTAGTCTCCTTTCCCAGTCTTCCTCCCTTTTTTTGAGCTCTGCCTCCCAGTCCTCCCTCCCAGATTCATCCTTCGAGCCCCTTGTTCTCATCCTAGTTCTAGGTTCCCCCGTTGCTCCACAGAAGGAAGGGGGAAGGGTGGTTAGGGGGAGGGGAATAATGGTTAGGGGGAGGGGAATGGATGGTTATGGGGGAGAGGGAGGATGGTTATTGGAGGAGGAGAGGTAGTTGGGGGAGGGGGTAGATGGTTTGGGGGAGGGGGTTAGATGGTTTGGGGAGGGGGTTAGATGGTTTGGGGGAGGGGTAGGTGGCTAGGGTGAGGTGGTTAGGGGAGGGGGGAGTACGTGTTTGAGAGAAGAGAGGGGATGGTTACTGGAGGGGGGGAGGTAGTTGGGGGAGGGGTAGGTGGCTAGGGTGAGGTGGTTAGGGAAGGGGGAGAGGTGGTTAGGGGAGGGGGGGTACGTGTTTGTGTCAAGTGTATATGTGCTTGTGTGTGTGCTTGTGTATGTGTGTGTGCATGTGTGGGAGACAGAGGGATTGGATAAAGGGGGGGGGGGGAGAAGGATGAGTGACCCTTAAAAGCGGGGGAGGTGTGTATATGGGATTAGCAGGGGAGGGAGGGGAAAAAAGGGCCAAGGGTAAAGTGACCGTGACAGTATGTGTGTGTATGTGCGTGTGTACTCACCTAGTGTGTGTGTGTGTGTGTGTGTGTGTGTGTGTGTGTGTGTGTGTGTGTGTGTGTGTGTGTGTGTGTGTGTGTGTGTGTGTGTGTGTGTGTGTGCGCGTGTGTGCGGGTGCGTGTGTACGGGTGCGTGTGTGTATGTGCGTGTGTGCGTGCGCGCGTGTATGTGTGTGTACTCACCTAGTTGTACTCACTTAGTTGAGGTTTCAGGGGTCGAGTCCAAGCTCCTGGCCCCCGCCTCTTCACTGATCGCTACTAGGTCACTCTCCCTGAACCGTGAGCTTTATCATACCTCTGCTTAAAGCTATGTATGGATCCTGCCTCCACTACATCGCTTCCCAAACTATTCCACTTGCTGACTACTCTGTGGCTGAAGAAATACTTCCTAACATCCCTGTGATTCATCTGTGTCTTCAACTTCCAACTGTGTCCCCTTGTTGCTGTGTCCCATCTCTGGAACATCCTGTCTTTGTCTACCTTGTCAATTCCTCTCAGTATTTTGTATGTCGTTATCATGTCCCCCCTATCTCTCCTGTCCTCCAGTGTCGTCAGGTTGATTTTCCTTAACCACTCCTCGTAGGACATGCCTCTTAGCTCTGGGACTAGTCTTGTTGCAAACCTTTGCACTTTCTCTAGTTTATTTACGTGCTTGGCTAGGTGTGGGTTCCAAACTGGTGCCACATACTCCAATATGGGCCTAACGTACACTGTGTACAGGGTCCTGAACGATTCCTTATTAAGATGTCGGAATGTTGTTCTGAGGTTTGCAAGGCGCCCATATGCTGCAGCTGTTATTTGGTTGATGTGCGCTTCAGATGTGCCTGGTGTTATACTCACCCCAAGATCTTTTTCCTTGACTGAGGTTTGTAGTCTCTGGCCTGGTTGTAGAGGCGCTGACCCCTGAACACCAACCGGGTAGGAGGATGTTGCACATGAGTCTTACCAGAATTGTACACCATTAATTATAAAAGTTAGTAATTGGAGAATGGAAAGAATAAGTAGTGTTGAGGGAAAGAATAAGTAGTACTGATGGAAAGAATAAGGAGTCGAAGGAAAATACAAATCAAAACACCAAGGCTAGAACAGTTCGTAAACTAAATACCTCATGTCCTAAAAGCAAGTTATTTGTGAAAGAAGGTGACAGTAACAATAAGTCACAATACCATGACTGGAACAACTCACTAACAAGTGAACTACAGAGACTTCCCTACATACAAACGTACATTGGTTTTACAACGCCTGCTCGGAACCGAGCCTGTTCATAAGTAGGAGAGAGACTGTACCTGTAAGGTGATGTCTTCATAGATGCCTTGTACTCTAGTGGCACCACCTAAAGCAGCCTGGGCTAGGGAGATTGTGGTGTCTGTGTGGATATCCGCTCCTTCTCGGCGGAAATAGTCGCTCTTGGTAACGTTGATTCGGACAAACACTTCCTTCCTGCCCACAGTCATTCTTAGGGTCTGTCCGTCCTCAACACCTAAATAATGAATCAGTATTAGTAATACAGTGGAACCTCAAAAATCGAACTGCTCCCAACACAACCAATTATGTAAGTGTATTTTTGTAAGTGCTTTTGTAAGTGTATTTTTGAAGGTCTGAAATGGACTAATCTAATTTACATTATTCCTGATGGGAATAAATTCATTCGGTAAAGGCACTCGAACAGTCTTCTGGACTGAAGAAAGTTCGATGTTTGAGGTTCCACTGTATTTTAACATACAGGCTGTCCCCCCACAAAGGCAGAGTCACCCAAAAAAGAAGAAACACCCCCAGCATCATTCGTTCAATCCTGCCAGATGTGGTGATGGGACAGCCCAGATGACCTGACCTGAAGAGAGGTCATCTGAGCTATTATCTTCTATTTTAATCCAACAGACATCTCCCATCACCTTTCTGTCTCTTGTGCCACTACCACTATTCCCCATACTTACTACTACCACCACTAGTACTACCACTACCAGTATTAACTCTACCACTACTTCTCATCTTTCTTTCTCTATCCTGTCCCTGTCCTCTTCTCTGTTATATACTGTCTCCCTCACTTTCCTGTGTTAGTGTGACTAGTTAATGGTCCAAGTCAGACCAAAAGGTTATCACAAGCTTCTCTCTCCTATATGCAGGATATTTGTGTTCAAAATTTATGGATACACTTTTTTGAATTGCATAAAACTATATATAAAAAAGCTTGAAAAACTCAAAAATCTATAATAGGGGGCACTTTTACTCTAATGCTGTTTTTATTGAGAATATATTAACCCTTTCAGGGTCCACAGGCCCTCTCAGAGACTTGTTCTCAGGGTCCCCCAAATTTAAAAAAAAAAAAAAAAATTTTTTCTTATGAAAAGATAGAGAATCTTTTCCTGATCATAACGACACCAAAAGTATGAAATTTGGTGGAAAACTTACGGAATTATGCTCTCGCGAAGTTAGCGGTCTCGACGATGTTTACGCATCAGCGATTTTGCCCACTTTGAGCCCTATTTTCAGCCCATTCCAGTGTATTAGTCAACAAAAATCATAACTATTTCACTAGAACTCCATTTCTTATATCGAATGAGTACAAGAAACCACCCATTTACAGATTTCAACTATCCAATACAGTGGTCAGAATTTAGCAATTTTGCCAATTTCACGCAAACTTCAAAAGATGCCAATTTCCAAATAGGGTCCAGAATAAACAAGAAAGACATTCCTGGCACTAAAATAACATTTCCTCTGTTCATTAGTCACGTCCCCAGGCCCCTCTTACATTCTTTTGCTTTCCATTTTGAATTTTTATTCTCACAAAAAATAGATTTACTGTTATGCAGACTACTGCATTAGTGTAGAAATGGTATAAATAATATCAGCGCACTTGTGAAAGAATATTAGACTCACCAGTTGACGTGTATTGGACGCTTAGCATGATTTGTTTACTTTTGAACTTTGGTAAAAGTCAAACATTTCTGCTACTTTGAGCTCAATTTCAAGGTACTTTTCATTGTAAAACCAGTCAAAATCATCTCAATTTCTGTAATATGTCTTCCATTCTATAAAATGAGACCAGGAAAACTAGAATACAACAATAAATACCATACGAAAATACAGTGCAAAGTCGCTGTTTTAATCCAAAAACACGGTCAAAGTTTTTTTTTTCTCATTACGCACTGTGTGTTGCAGGATTTTTTTTATACTGCACACACTTACCACATAGACCCATTCTTTCATATGTAGGCCTACCAGCTTTCTCTCACTAGATTTGAAGGCACTAGAATTTATGAGTACTAGTTCGTGAAGGACCCTGGCACGTAAGCCGTACTAGTACGGCCGAAACCCTGAAAGGGTTAATTTTGGTGAAAAAAGTGTGTGTGGCTCCAGTCACAGTTGCAACTGTGACTGTACTTTCTGGAACCGTGTACGTACCTGCGGGGGCTGTGATCATACCTGTGGAGACGTGACGGTACATGAGGGTGACTGCACCTGTGGAAGCCATGACCATACGTACAGAAACTGTGACTGTACCTATGGAAACCGCGACTGTGCCTGTGGAAACTGTGACCATACCTGCAAAAACTGTGACCATACCTGCAAAAACTGTGACCATACCTGTGGAAACTGACTGTACCTGCAGAAACTGACCATACCTGTGGAAACTGGGACCATACCTGCAGAAACTGACCATACCTGCAGGAACTGTGACCATACCTGCAGGAACCCTGACCGTACCTGCGGGAACCACGACCGTACCTGCCGGAACCACGACCATACCTGTGGGAACTGATCGTACCTCTGGGAACTGACCGTACCTGCAGGAACTGGCACCGTGACGGTTTTGCGCTGTACAGTCTGACCCTTGCCCTCACACTCCTCGCAGGGGTACTTGATGTGCATGCGCGTCCCATGACAGTACCGGCACGTCTGCCGCATCACAAATGGACCTATCAGGGATATAAAACAGAACTTTGAAAAAGTCACGTTTTAAGATAAAAAATTTCTGACATAAAACAACTTTTATTTGATGTTGTAACCCCTTATCTTGCATACATTACTAAATTTAAAAAAAGAAGCTTTCGTTTTTCTTTACTGTTAAGCACAAAAGAAAGCCATTATCATACGGTGAATTTCAGCAGAGTAATACTAATGTTGATGAAGACAGGGAAGCTGTAATTTTGTGCATTGAGCAGGGAGGTATAACATCTTTTTGGAGTGAGGAAGAGCCAGTTGTGAGTGTGGGGGAAGTGAATGAAGCAGTGAGTAGAATGAAAGGGGGTAAAGCAGCGAGGATTGATGGGATAAAGACAGAAATGTTAAAAGCATGGGGGGGATATAGTTTAGGAGTGGTTAGTGTTTTATTTAATAAATATATGGAAGAGGGGATGGTACCTGAGGAACCAGCATGCACAGTTCCTTTGTATAAAGGAAAAGGGGACAAAAAATGAGTGCAAGAATTACAGGGGAATAAGCCTGTTGAGTTGTAGGTAGTAGGTTGGTAGACAGCAACCGCCCAGGGAGGTACTACCGTCCTGCCAAGTGAGTGTAAAACGAAAGCCTGTAATTGTTTTACATGATGGAAGGATTGCTGGTGTCTTTTTTCTGTCTCATAATCATGCAAGATTTCAGATACGTCTTGCTACTTCTACTTACACTTAGGTCACACTACACATACATGTACAAGCATATATATACACACCCCTCTGGGTTTTCTTCTATTTTCTTTCTAGTTCTTGTTCTTGTTTATTTCCTCTTATTTCCATGGGGAAGTGGAGCAGAATTTTTCCTCCGTAAGCCATGCGTGTTGTAAGAGGCGACTAAAATGCCAGGAGCAAGGGGCTAGTAACCACTTCTCCTGTATATATTACTAAATGTAAAAGGAGAAACTTTCATTTTTCCTTTAGAGCCACCCCGCCTCGGTGGGATACGGCAGGTGTGTTGAAATAAGAATATAGGTGAAGTATATAGATAAGGGTAAAGAGGTTTTCATGGCATTTATTGATTGGAAAAAGGTGTATGATAGGGTGGACAGGAGGGCAATGTTGCAGGTGTTGCAAATGTACGGAATAGGACGTAGGCTACTGAAAGCAGTTAAAATATGCCTGTACTTAAATATTGTATTAACAAGGTATACCAGTACTTAAATACGGTATTAACAAGGTGTACCAGTACAGTGGACCCTCCGCTTTCGTCGATCTCCGTTATCGCCGATTTCAGTTTTGGCCGACTTCTTTCATTGACTTTTTGGCTCCATTTTTGTCGATTACTTCCGTTTTCATTAATCGTACGGAACCTATCCAGTCCCGAGCGTGTAGACAAAACCACCTCCCACACCATTCTCAGCCAGTGTAGCATTGTTTCTCAGTGAGTGAACATATCCTACCAGGTCATACAAAACATTTCGTAATAATCCATTGTTTTTGCCACTTGTTTATTATGTGTAGCTGCTAAATAAGCCACCATGGCCCCAAAGAAAGCTCCTAGTGCCAGTCCTTTGGTAAAGAAAGTGAGGAACACTGTAGAAATGAAAAAAGAAATCCTAAGAAACTATGAAAATGGCATACACATTGCTGAACTCAGCAGGATGTACGGGAAGTCGCCATCAACAATCAGCTCCACTGTGGCAAAAAGAAATCACAGAAGCTGATATTGTGAAAGGGATGAATGTAATAACCAGAGATCCCAAATAATTGAAGAAGTGGAGAAATTGTTGTTGGTGCAGATCAGAGAGAGTTAGCAGTGTCGTGCAGTCCATTATTTGTGAAAAGGCAAGACAGTTACACGACGACCTCTTAAAGAAACTGCTTGAAACAAGTGCTGATGTAGGTGAATTTAAAGCCAGCAAAGGCTGGTTTGAAAAATTCAAGAAGCGAAGTGGCATAAACAGTGTTGTAAGGCACGGTGAGGATGCCGGTTCAGACAAACAAGTGGCTGAAAAATTCATGCGGGAATTCAAATATTATGTAGAGGCTGAAAAATTCCAACCCCAACAAGTGTTTAATTGTGATGAAACAGGCCTGTTTTCGAAGAAAATGCCAAAGAGGACCTACATTACGCAGAGGGAAAAGGCACTGCCAAGACACAAGCCTATGAAAGACAGGCTAACTCTCTTGTTGTGTGGTAGTGCTAGTGGGTATTTCAAAGTGAAGCCATTACTGGTGTAATTTTTTTTATTTATTATTTTTTATTATCACACCGGCCGATTCCCACCAAGGCAGGGTGGCCCGAAAAAGAAAAACTTTCACCATCATTCACTCCATCACTGTCTTGCCAGAAGGGTGCTTTACACTACAGTTTTTAAACTGCAACATTAACACCCCTCCTTCAGAGTGCAGGCACTGTACTTCCCATCTCCAGGACTCAAGTCCGGCCTGCCGGTTTCCCTGAATCCCTTCATATATGTTACTTTGCTCACACTCCAACAGCACGTCAAGTATTAAAAACCATTTGTCTCCATTCACTCCTATCAAACACGCTCACGCATGCCTGCTGGAAGTCCAAGCCCCTCGCACACAAAACCTCCTTTACCCCCTCCCTCCAACCCTTCCTAGGCCGACCCCTACCCCGCCTTCCTTCCACTACAGACTGATACACTCTTGAAGTCATTCTGTTTCGCTCCATTCTCTCTACATGTCCGAACCACCTCAACAACCCTTCCTCAGCCCTCTGGACAACAGTTTTGGTAATCCCGCACCTCCTCCTAACTTCCAAACTACGAATTCTCTGCATTATATTCACACCACACATTGCCCTCAGACATGACATCTCCACTGCCTCCAGCCTTCTCCTCGCTGCAACATTCATCACCCACGCTTCACACCCATATAAGAGCGTTGGTAAAACTATACTCTCATACATTCCCCTCTTTGCCTCCAAGGACAAAGTTCTTTGTCTCCACAGACTCCTAAGTGCACCACTCACTCTTTTTCCCTCATCAATTCTATGATTCACCTCATCTTTCATAGACCCATCCGCTGACACGTCCACTCCCAAATATCTGAATACGTTCACCTCCTCCATACTCTCTCCCTCCAATCTGATATTCAATCTTTCATCACCTAATCTTTTTGTTATCCTCATAACCTTACTCTTTCCTGTATTCACCTTTAATTTTCTTCTTTTGCACACCCTACCAAATTCATCCACCAATCTCTGCAACTTCTCTTCAGAATCTCCCAAGAGCACAGTGTCATCAGCAAAGAGCAGCTGTGACAACTCCCACTTTGTGTGTGATTCTTTATCTTTTAACTCCACGCCTCTTGCCAAGACCCTCGCATTTACTTCTCTTACAACCCCATCTATAAATATATTAAACAACCACGGTGACATCACACATCCTTGTCTAAGGCCTACTTTTACTGGGAAAAAATTTCCCTCTTTCCTACATACTCTAACTTGAGCCTCACTATCCTCGTAAAAACTCTTCACTGCTTTCAGTAACCTACCTCCTACACCATACACTTGCAACATCTGCCACATTGCCCCCCTATCCACCCTGTCATACGCCTTTTCCAAATCCATAAATGCCACAAAGACCTCTTTAGCCTTATCTAAATACTGTTCACTTATATGTTTCACTGTAAACACCTGGTCCACACACCCCCTACCTTTCCTAAAGCCTCCTTGTTCATCTGCTATCCTATTCTCCGTCTTACTCTTAATTCTTTCAATTATAACTCTACCATACACTTTACCAGGTACACTCAACAGACTTATCCCCCTATAATTTTTGCACTCTCTTTTATCCCCTTTGCCTTTATACAAAGGAACTATGCATGCTCTCTGCCAATCCCTAGGTACCTTACCCTCTTCCATACATTTATTAAATAATTGCACCAACCACTCCAAAACTATATCCCCACCTGCTTTTAACATTTCTATCTTTATCTCATCAATCCCGGCTGCCTTACCCCCTTTCATTTTACCTACTGCCTCACGAACTTCCCCCACACTCACAACTGGCTCTTCCTCACTCCTACAAGATGTTATTCCTCCTTGCCCTATACACGAAATCACAGCTTCCCTATCTTCATCAACATTTAACAATTCCTCAAAATATTCCTTCCATCTTCCCAATACCTCTAACTCTCCATTTAATAACTCTCCTCTCCTATTTTTAACTGACAAATCCATTTGTTCTCTAGGCTTTCTTAACTTGTTAATCTCACTCCAAAACTTTTTCTTATTTTCAACAAAATTTGTTGATAACATCTCACCCACTCTCTCATTTGCTCTCTTTTTACATTGCTTCACCACTCTCTTAACTTTTTATTTTTTTATTTATTTTTTTTATCAACACATCGGCCAATTCCCACCAAGGCAGGGTGGCCCGAAAAAAACTTTCATCATCATTCACTCCATCACTGTCTTGCCAGAGGGGTGCTTTACACAACAGTTATAAAACTGCAACATTAACACCCCTCCTTCAGAGTGCAGACACTCTCCAGGACTCAAGTCCGGCCTGCCAGTTTCCCTGAATCCCTTCATAAATGTTACTTTGCTCACACTCCAACAGCACGTCAAGTATTAAAAACCATTTGTCTCCATTCACTCCTATCAAATACACTGGCGTATCACTCTGAAAATCCCAGTGTGTTCAAGAAAAACAGTGTTGTCAAGAGTAAACTGTGTGTGATGTGGAAAGCAAACAGTAGGGCATGGGTCGCCAGGGAAATTTTCCTGGAATGGTTCAATTAAGTGCTTGGCCCTAGTGGATAATAAACTGCAACTCCAGTGCCTCCTGTTAATGGATAATGCTCCTGCTCATCCGCCAGATTTAGAAGACCAATTGTCTAAGAAATTCAGTTTTGTAATAGTGAAGTTTTTGCTTCCTAACACCACTCCTCTCCTGCAGCCCATGAACCAGCAGATCATTGCAAACTTCAAAAAACTGTACACCAAAGCAATGTTTCAAAGGTGCTTTGACATAACCTTGGACTCTGAATTGACCCTGGTGGCTAAAGCTCCCGCTTCACACACGGAGGGCCCGGGTTCGATTCTCGGCGGGTGGAAACATTTCGACAAGTTTCCGTACACCTGTTGTCCTGTTCACCTAGCAGCAAATAGGTACCTGGGTGTTAGTCGACTGGTGTGGGTCGCATCCTGGGGGACAAGATTGAGGACCCCAATGGAAATAAGTTAGACAGTCCTCAATGACGCACTGACTTTCTTGGGCTATCCTGGGTGGCTAACCCTCTGGGGTTAAAAATCCAAACGAAATCTTATCTTATGTTATCACTTCAGTATCTTCCACTCCGTAAGCCTTATAGATAAGGCTTGACAGGGAGTGACTTCCAGGACGATGAACTCTGCTTGGGAAAAATTGTGGCCAGATTGTGTCCAAAAGAAGGATTTTGAAGGATTTGAGGGTGACCCTGTCGACCCTAAACCTGCTGTGCAATCAATTGTGGCATTGGGGAATTCCATGGGGTTGGATGTGAATGGCGAGGATATGGAAGAGTCGGTGGAGGCCCATAATGAAGAGCTAACCACTGATGAGCTGCACGAGCTTCATCTGCGACAGCAACAGACCACAGCTGAGGAAATGGCTTCAGAGGAGGAGGAAGAGAGATGGAAGAAGGTGCCTTCTTCAAAGATTAAGGAGATTTGTGCAATGTGGACTAAAGTGCATTCATCTGTGAAGCAACATCACCCTGAGAAAGCTGTTGCAATCTGTGCTGGTGACTTTTACAATGACAATGCCATGTCCCATTTTAGGCAAATCTTAGAGATGCCAGAAACAGACCTATCTGTACAGATATACTGTATTGTGTGACAGGGGTCCAGTGACTCAAGCTGGTCCTAGTGACAGTAAAAAACAAAGGAGGGAAGTGACCTCAGATAAGGACTTGGTACCTAGAGTCCTTATGGAGTGGGATTTCCCTTCCAAACAATAACCTATCTTCCCTCTCCCCTCCTCCCTGTCTTCCTTCCAGCAACAATAACCTTCAATAAACTAAGTGTTGTGTGTAATGTTCATTCTTTTGTGCATGTAACTATCTTTAGGGTAAAAAAATTTTTTTTTGTTGATACTTCTGGGTGTCTGGAACAGATTAATTCCATTTACATTATTTTTTATGGGGAAAATGGTTTTGGTTTTGGCCGAGCGTCCACTGTATCCACAGCATTAATAAGGTATGCCAGTAACTACATATAACTGCTGCAGATCCTCACCTGTGGAGATAGTTTCCATTCCAGTACCATTGCAGTACTGGCATCGTATTGCTTTAGTTCCCGGTTCGCACCGAGAACCTGAACACTTGGGGCAGATGTCCACCGTATTGAGAGTGACATCCTTGTTGATTCCCCGAGCTGCTTGAGAGAACGTTAGATTCAATGCAATCTGTTGGGAGGCAGTGAAAGTTAGGTTAGAGTGATTATAAATTGTCAGGAGGCAGTGAAAGTTAGGTTAGAGTGATTATAAATTGTCAGGAGGTAGTGAAAGTTAGGTTAGAGTCATTGTAAACTGTCAGGAGGCAGTGAAAGTTAGGTTGGAGTCATTGTAAACTGTCAGGAGGTAGTGAAAGTTAGGTTGGAGTCATTGTAAACTGTCAGGAGGCAGTGAAAGTTAGGTTAGAGTCATTGTAAACTGTCAGGAGGCAGTGAAAGTTAGGTTAGAGTCATTGTAAACTGTCAGGAGGCAGTGAAAGTTAGGTTAGAGTCATTGTAAACTGTCAGGAGGTAGTGAAAGTTAGGTTAGAGTCATTGTAAACTGTTACATAAACTAGAATTGTCACAAAAGTAATGCCAACAGTCACAGGGGTGAGGCAGAGGGGGGGAATCAGACCCCCTCAAAATTCCATCAGCCCCCAAATTCACTCAGATAAAAGTGCTGCTTGAAGTGATGGAGTGAATGATGGTGAAAGTTTTTCTTTTTCGGGCCACCCTGCCTTGGTGGGAATCGGCCAGTGTGATAATAAAAAAAAAAAAAGTGCTGCTGCTTTAAGAGTCCCCCCCCCCTATAGCCTTGTCTACCAGACATTGTCACCACTAAATCCTTGTCTACTAGACACTGTCACCTCCAATTCCCCCCTGTATAAAACACCTGGAGCCACCTGTGTAAATAACTTGCCTCCTGAGCAGCGCCAAAGCCGAATGTGGACTCAGCAAAGTCCTGATCTCCCATGTCAAACCCGCCTCTTCGGAAATCACCAAAGATCTTCCTGAAGAGTTCCTCAGGATCAATGGTTGTCTGGTAGCTCCAGCCAGACTGGAATGGATTTCCGCCCATGCCGCTGCTGCCCGCACGACCCATCTGCTCTGCCGTGTGTCCCATGGTGTCATACTGGCGCCGTTTCTCCTCATCACCAAGCACCTGGTAACAAAATTTCAATTAAAATCAATTTTTAAGAAGAGATTAATGGAGAAATTAACCCCTTGGTGTTAATGACTCATGAAATCGCAATTATGGGGGAGCGTTAAACCTGTAGGAATTATACAGTACCGGTGGGGGGGGGAGGAAGTAATGCAGGCGTAATAACAAACTACAAATAAACCACAGAACAGGTGGGTTTTAAACCCGTGGCAACTAAGTCCTAAAACTTAGTCTAGTGTGGTAGACAATTTTCTTTCTGCAAACAGTACATAGAAGATGTACTTTACATGTAATAAAAATCTTTTTAAGCACAAAAGAAAGCCACTAACATGCTGTGCAGTTCAGACAAACTAATCCTAATGCTTACACACTAATTAAGAATTAGACACGGGTTAAGTGGGAGCCACGCCCCTCCTCTTCTGTATACCTTTGATATATCTTTCATGATTTTGGAGTCTTTCTATTCCTGAAGCTTTCTACTCCTTGGTGCTAGCCTAGTCAACCAGGCTGTTGCTGCTAGTGGCCTGCTGCCCCACATATCCATCACAGCCTGGTTGATCTAGCACCTGGTGAAGATACAGTTTCCTCTTGAAGACTTCTACACTTGTTCCAGCAATCTTTCTGATATCTGGAACAAGTATAGAAGTATCTTCACCAGGTGTCAGATCAACCAGGCTGTGATGGATAAGTGGGGCTGCGGACCTCCAACTGAGCTTATAAAGAATAGTGAAGCTTTCATACGACAGTGACCCACTAGAAACTAAGCTAGATTTCTGACTTATTTACTTAGCGCCGTTGTAAAAACAGTCAAATGGGTGACTGTTGATGAAGCCTTCAACAGAAACTGTCACTGTTTTGCAACAGTTGTGGCTAACTGTTGTCTGTTGGTAGACTTTTTCTTATACTGTTGTCTGTTGGTAGACTTTTTCTTATCGTTTTTCCTGATGTAGCCTAAAGTAAACCCAACGAAACTTAATCTCGCACAATACACAACCCACATCATACTCAACCCTCACACTTTCCTAAGTGGGAGTTGAGTATCAACCAGGTTGTTGCTGCTGGTCTGCTGGCACACACAGTTGATGGAATTGCATACAGAATAGTGCCATCTGAAGATCATTAGAATTTTAGCCTCTGGACACACTTCGCAAGACACCTACTGCAAGAACAAATGAAAGGTCGTGGTAGTGATGATGTACCAGGCTAGGCATGGATGTAGTGTGCAGGGTGACCCAAAAAATAAGAAACGCTTTCACCATCACTCACTCCACCACTGTCTTGCCAGAGATGTATCTACACTACTTTTCAGATGCTCAGATGGGGTCCCTGTGTCTCTATTTCCAATGGAAATACCAGGACCTCAATGGAAATACCAGGACCTCAATGGAAATACCAGGACCTCAATGGAAATACCAGGACCTCAATGGAAATATTAGGACCTCAATGGAAATACCAGGACCTCAATGGAAATACCAGGACCTCAATGGAAATACCAGGACCTCAATGGAAATACCAGGACCTCAATGGAAATACCAGGACCTCAATGGAAATACCAGGACCTCAATGGAAATACCAGGACCTCAATGGAAATATTAGAACCTCAATGGAAATACCAGGACCCCAATGGAAATACCAGGGCCTCAATGGAAATACCAGGACCTCAATGGAAATACAAGGATCCCAATGAAAATACAAGGACCCCAATGGAAATACAAGGACCACAATGGAAATACAAGGACCACAATGGAAATACAAGGACCACAATGGAAATGATGTCACTGACTTTTTTGGGTTATCCTGGTGGGCAATTTAAACATGTACTATATTAATGCATCGACAAATGAGTGCTTTTAACCACACAAGCAGTCTGTATTGCTTGTGAAGACTGGTATTCCAAATGGGAGGAGAATGAAATTAGTCCTGTAGCCTACATGGCCACGTATGTGCTCGCATCAGGGGTGACATGTCCAGTGGTCCTGGAGACCTGATGTCTGAAGCACTGATGACTAAGTGGACTAAGGCAATTCAGAATTTTGGCAGGCTTCTCATGAGGTGTGCTAAAGGATCAGGGGTTTGATTCCCGGCTAATCGCAGTACAGTAAGTCCTCAACTCACACTCATTGGGGACCTGAATTGCGTATAATAATATGTAATGACATTATACAAAATAATGATGATATACACAATACAGAAGATTCTCAATGTGTTCCTAAGTCAATGACTTAATGTACTGTTAATACAGCCTCTCCTCATTTGATGACGGAGTTTCGTTCCTAAGACTGTCAGTAAACAAATTCGTCACTAAGTGAGGAGCATACTATAATGGTAGTGGGTTTGTGTCAACCATCTTTGATATTGCTTTACGTAATGTCACCTTTGCACCATTTATAACATTTCTGGTATATTTTTAATGTTTATACACTAGTGTACTGTATATTGTAATAAACAGAATAGAGGAAATCAGCTCTAATATACATTTAGGTATGCATACATGTCAGAGAGCCTGTTGTAAGCCCAAGTCGTCAGTAAACGAGTATGTCGCTAAGTGAGGAGAGGCTGTATATTATTATGTATGATAATTGTACTTACGTGTACCTGTACCTAAATAAACCTACACCTCCAGGACTCAAGTCTGGCTCTTACCTCATATGCTTCAGAAACTTCGGTGAACTTTTTCTGTGAGGTGGGGTCATCTTTATTAACATCCGGGTGGTACTTCTTTGCCAGTTGGTAATAAGCCTTCTTGATCTCCTTGCTGGAGGCATTGCGTGGGATCCCAAGGACTTCATAGTAGTCACGTTGTTTAAAACCTTGCGATGTGTGGTACTGCGAGCTGCCCTGGGGTCCTAATACCTTGCCTGTAATGCCAGGAAATACTGTAATATCTCACATGTAATTTGCATAGTCTTAAATGACATGATTTATGGCAGCCCAAAAGTAGACAGAAAATTACACTGCATTACTATGCTGTATTATACAGTGGACCCCCGGTTAACGAACTTTTTTCATTCCAGAAGTATGTTCAGGTGCCAGTACTGACCGAATTTGTTCCCATAAGGAATATTGTGAAGTAGATTAGTCCATTTCAGACCCCCAAACATACACGTACAAACGCACTTACATAAATACACTTACATAATTGGTCGCATTTGGAGGTGATCGTTAAGCGGGGGTCCACTGTACTGCATTAAGCACATAAAGAAGCACTGCAGTAAGCCTACTGGCCAATGCTAGACAGGTCAAAGTCCTCTAATGGCCTAAGCTAGTCAGGTCCAAGTCACCTCCACTTAACAAAGAAGGAGTACTGCGCAAGACCCACTGGCCCAAGTTAGTCAGGCCCAAGTCACCTCCACTTAACAAGGAAGGAGCACTGCATCAGACCCACTGGCCCAAGCTAGTCAAGTCTTCTTTTTCTGGTCACCCTACCTCAGTGGTAAATGGCTGATGTGTTAATACCAAATAAAAAATTAATACATATATTAGCAGTTTGGAGGGATAAGTTGTGTATCTTTATACGTACAGTGGACCCTCGACTAATGCTATTAATCCGTTCCTGAGAGCTCATCGTTAGTCAAAATAATCGTTAGTCAAGTTAATTTTCCCCATAAGAAATAATGGAAATCAAATTAATCCGTGCAAGACACCCCAAAGTATTGAAAAAAAAAATTTTTAACACATGAAATATTAATTTTAATACACACAAACTGAAGAAGACATGCACAGTTACATGACACTTACCTTTATTGAAGATCTGGTGATGATTGATGGGATGGGAAGAGGGGAGTGTGTTGATGGCCTTAGTGTTTAGAAGGGGAATCCCCTTCCATTAGGACTTGAGGTGGCAAGTCCTTTTTTGGGGTTACTTCCCTTCTTCTTTTAATCCCAATAGGACCAGCTTGAGAGTCACTGGACTTCTGTCTCACAACATATCTGCCCATAGAGGCCTGTACCTCCCGTTCCTTTATGACATTCCTAAAGTGTTTCACAACATTGTCAGTGTCACCATTAAACACTTGTTCAGGTTTCAGTCCTTCACTGTCTATGTACTCCTTGAATTCCTGCACATATTTTTCAGCTGCTTTTTGGTCCAAACTGGCAGCCTCACCATGCCTTATCACACTATGTATGCCACTACGATTCTTAAATCTCTCAAACCAACCTTTGCTGGCCTTAAATTCACTCACATCACCACTAGTTGCTGGCATTTTTCTAATTAAATCGTCATGCAACTTCCTAGCCTTTTCACATATGATCGCTTGAGAGATGCTATCTCCTGCTATCTGTTTTTCGTTTATCCACACCAATAACAGTCTCTCAACATCTTCTATCACTTGCGATCTCAGTTTCGAAAACATAGTTGCACCTTTGGCAAGAACAGCTTCCTTGATTGCCGTTTTCTTGGCCACAATAGTAGCGATGGTTGATTGGGGTTTTGTGTACAGCCTGGCCAGCTCAGAGACACGCACTCCACTTTCATACTTAGCAATGATCTCTTTCTTCATATCCATAGTAATTCTCACCCCTTTTTGCTGTAGGGTTGGCACTAGAAGCTTTCTTGGGGCCCATGGTGACTTATTTTGCAGGTGCAATCACTAAAAAGGCTGTGATAATATGAAATGTTCCGATTGTATGCTTGGAAGCGACCGCGGTGGCTGGCTGGCTTGTAAACACTGACCAGAAGTGGATGCGTCTCAGACGGAACGAATAGTGTTGGTCGAGTTTTTTAGCGCTAATCAAGGCAAAATTTTTGCGATAAAATGTATCGCTAGTCAGATTTATCGTTAATCGATGCCATCGCTGGTCAAGGGTCCACTGTATATGCTTCTAAACTGTCGTGTTCTGAGCACCTCTGCAAAAACAGTGATTATGTGTGAGTGAGGTGAAAGTGTTGAATGATGATGAAAGTATTTTCTTTTTTGGGGATTTTCTTTCTTTTTGGGTCACCCTGCCTCGGTGGGAGACAGCCGACTTGTTGAAAAAAAAAAATGTATTTATGGTCATTAAATGTATACAAATAAGGTTGAATGAGTATATAATGCATGTATATGGTGTATAAATACACATAGTTGACTAAATCTTATTGTAACCAGGTGGCCAAGTGGTTAACACACTGGCTTGGAGTTTTACAACCCATCAACCAAATCTTTAAAAAGGCCACAGAAAACAATATGAAGTTCAATGAAGAGGAATTTCAATTATCAAGATATGGAAAACTTGGGTAAATTAAAACTGCATTGGATTATAAAACAAATTCCAACCAAACAACAGAGTGAAAAACTAATGTGAAGGACCTGGGAGTGATCATGTCAGGGTAAGTTTCAAAGATCACAACAATGTACCTAACACACCTGCAAGAAAAAATGACAGGATGGATAATGAGAACTTTCAAAACTAGGGACACCAAGCCTATGATGACACTACAGATCACTTGTTCTCTCTTAGCTGGAATATTGCTGCACACTAACAGCACCTATCAAGGCAGGTGAAATTGCTGACCTAGAGAGTGTACAGAGAACTCTCACAACACACATAAGTATGATAAAACACCTAAATTACTGGGAACGGTTGAAGTTCCTCGACCTGTACTTCCTGGAATGCAGGCAAGAAAGATACATGATAATATACACATGGAAAATCCTAGAGGGACTGGTATCAAATTGTAAAGTAAAAGGACACAAGTGCAACTAATGTGACATTTTATTGTGGCAACGTTTCGCTCTCCAGGAGCTTTGTCAAGCTGTTACAAACAGTACATGGACACAGAGGGTATATAAAGGCTCAGAGTGAGGTGCAATACTAGTGGTAGTGGTAGTAGTAGTGACGTAAGTTGTAGTAGTAGTAATACAATATGGTAGAGCAATTAACTCGTACATGAGTAAAAGGATATAAAAGCTATTAGTTGGGTAACATAAAAATAGGTTAGACAAATATAGACTGAATAGAGAAGGCCTGTTTCAGTGTTCATTCTCTGTAATGTGGTTTGTGTAGTATAACAGGAGAGACTATGTGTGTGTGTGATGAATGGTTTTGAAAATCGACAAGTTGAAGAATTGAGACACTTGTGCAACACATGGGAATCTTTACTGAAGAAACGTTTTGCCACACAGTGGCTTTATCAGTCCAATACAAAGTAGAAATTGGTAAGGAGAGGAGAAGTTGGAGGTAATCAGTCCCTCAACCTGGAATCGATGTGTTCAGTCCATCACTCTTGTAGGAAGTGCAGCACAGGGCCAGAGAGATGGCTTATATACTGCGGTGAGATGAGTTGAAGCAGGAGGAGGCGGGATCACAGTGGGACCTGCCACTAGTGTAAGTAGGTCGTCGTCCAAAGGTTGGACAAGCGTTGAAGTCTTTGTACCAAGATCCCATGATGTTGCAGTGTCTGACAGATGTGATGAATGGTTTTGAAAACAGACAAGTTGAAGAATTGAGGCACTAGTGGCAGGTCCCACTGTGATCCCGCCTCCTCCTGCTTCAACTCATCTCACCGCAGTATATAAGCCATCTCTCTGGCCCTATGCTGCACTTCCTACAAGAGTGATGGACTGAACACATCGATTCCAGGTTGAGGGACTGATTACCTCAAACTTCTCCTCTCCTTACCAATTTCTACTTTGTATTGGACTGATGAAGCCACTGTGTGGCGAAACGTTTCTTCAATAAAGATTCCCATGTGTTGCACAAGTGTCTCAATTCTTCTTCAGGAGAGACTACGTGATGGCAGGTTTACTGTTTTCAGGAGGATTCTTACTAAGACTTCAGAGATGGTGAAGCTGCCGTTGTTTTGTTTAATTGAATTAGAAACAACTATTAGTGAAAATTCAAAACATGTCTGCGGAAATTAGTTTCTTTGATCACTAATTGGTCGTCCCTGAACTTCACGATGCCCGGGCATAACAGAGGCTCTCTCTGCCCTGCGACTCATTATCGTAAATATATCATCTCAATGTACTACTTGCAAAGAAATAAATGAATCTGAATATTGTACATTTCTTCTTTAAGCTCGGTGTTCGATTTCTGAGACTTTATTGTATTATAATAAACATTTAATATTAAGTAGAAAATTAATAGTAATGAAATAAACAATAAAAATAATACAAAAATAATGAATACGTAATAATAATAATAATAATAATAATAATAATAATAATAATAATAATAATAATAATTATAATAATAATTATAATTATAATAATAATAATTATCATAATTATAATAATTATAGGTAGTAGGTTGGTAGACAGTAACCACCCAGGGAGCTACTACCGTCCTGCCAAGTGAGTGTAAAACGAAGCCTGTGATTGTTTTACATGATGGTAGGATTGCTGATGTCTTTTGTCTGTCTCATAAATATGCAAGATTACAGGTACGTCTTGCTACTTCTACTTACACTTAGGTCACACTACACATACATGTACACATTTATTTATACACACTCATCTGAGTTTTCTTTGATTTTATCTTAATAGTTCTTGGTCTTATTACTTTTCCTTTTATATCCATGGGGAAGTGGAATAAGAATCTTTCCTCCGTAAGCCATGCGTGTTGTAAAAGTCAACTAAAATGCCGGGAACAATGGGCTAGTAACCCCTTTTCCTGTAAACATTACTAAATAGAATAAGAAGAAGAAAATTTCTTTTTGGGGGATTTTCTTTCTTTTTTGGGTCACCCTGCCTCGGTGGGAGACGGCCGACTTGTTGAAAAAAAAAAAAAAAAAAAAAAAAAAAAAAAAAAAAAAAAAAAAATAATAATAATAATATAATAATAATAATAATAATAATAATAATAATAATAATAATTATAATAATAATTATAATTATAATAATAATAATTATCATAATTATAATAATTATAGGTAGTAGGTTGGTAGACAGTAACCACCCAGGGAGCTACTACCGTCCTGCCAAGTGAGTGTAAAACGAAGCCTGTGATTGTTTTACATGATGGTAGGATTGCTGATGTCTTTTGTCTGTCTCATAAATATGCAAGATTACAGGCATGTCTTGCTACTTCTACTTACACTTAGGTCACACTACACATACATGTACACATTTATTTATACACACTCATCTGAGTTTTCTTTGATTTTATCTTAATAGTTCTTGGTCTTATTAATTTTCCTTTTATATTCATGGGGAAGTGGAATAAGAATCTTTCCTCCGAAAGCCATGCGTGTTGTAAAAGTCAACTAAAATGCCGGGAACAATGGGCTAGTAACCCCTTTTCCTGTAAAGATTACTAAAAAGAATAAGAAGAAGAAAATTGTCAAAGTGGGAAGTCTGAATGTGCGTGGATGTTGTGCAGATGATAAGAAAGAGATGATTGTGGATGTTATGAATGAGAAGAAGCTGGATGTCCTGGCCTTAAGTGAAACAAAGCTGAAGGGGGTGGAAGAGTTTCAGTGGAGAGGAATAAATGGGATTAGGTCAGGGGTTTCAAATAGAGTTAGAGCTAAAGAAAGAGTAGCAATAATGTTGAAGGATAAGCTATGGCAGGAAAAGAGGGACTATAAATGTATTAATTCAAGGATTATGTGGAGTAAAATAAAGATTGGATGTGAAAAGTGGGTTATAGTAAGTGTGTATGCACCTGGAGAAGAGAGAAGTGTAGAGGAGAGAGAGAGATTTTGGGAAATGTTGAGTGAATGCGTGGGGAGTTTTGAATCAAGTGTGAGAGTAATGGTGGTTGGGGATTTCAATGCTAAAGTGGGTAAAAATGTTATGGAAGGAGTAGTAGGTAAATTTGGGGTGCCAGGGGTAAATGTAAATGGGGAGCCTTTAATTGAGCTATGTGTAGAAAGAAATTTGGTAATAAGTAATACATATTTTATGAAAAAGAGGATAAATATACAAGGTATGATGTAGCACGTAATGAAAGTAGTTTATTAGATTATGTTTTGGGTTTGGATAAAAGGTTGATGGGTAGGCTTCAGGATGTACATGTTTATAGAGGGGCAACTGATATATCGGATCATTATTTAGTTGTAGCTACAGTTAGAGTAAGAGGTAGATGGGAAAAGAGGAAGGTGGCAACAACAAATAAGAGGGAGGTGAAAGTGTATAAACTAAGGGAGGAGGAAGTTCGGGTGAGATATAAGCGTCTATTGGCAGAAAGGTGGGCTAGTGCAAAGATGAGTAGTGGGGGGGGTTGAAGAGGGTTGGAATAGTTTTAAAAATGCAGTATTAGAATGTGGGGCAGAAGTTTGTGGTTATAGGAGGGTGGGGGCAGGAGGAAAGAGGAGTGATTGGTGGAATGATGAAGTAAAGGGTGTGATAAAAGAGAAAAAGGTAGCTTATGAGAGGTTTTTACAAAGCAGAAGTGTTATAAGAAGAGCAGAGTATATGGAGAGTAAAAGAAAGGTAAAGAGAGTGGTGAGAGAGTGCAAAAGGAGAGCAGATGATAGAGTGGGAGAGGCACTGTCAAGAAATTTTAATGAAAATAAGAAAAAATTTTGGAGTGAGTTAAACAAGTTAAGAAAGCCTAGGGAAAATATGGATTTGTCAGTTAAAAACAGAGTAGGGGAGTTAGTAGATGGGGAGATGGAGGTATTGGGTAGATGGCGAGAATATTTTGAGGAACTTTTAAATGTTAAGGAAGAAACAGAGGCAGTAATTTCATGCACTGGTCAGGGAGGTATACCATCTTTTAGGAGTGAAGAAGAGCAGAATGTAAGTGTGGGGGAGGTACGTGAGGCATTACGTAAAATGAAAGGGGGTAAAGCAGCTGGAACTGATGGGATCATGACAGAAATGTTAAAAGCAGGGGGATATAGTGTTGGAGTGGTTGGTACTTTTGTTTAATAAATGTATGAAAGAGGGAAGGTACCTAGGGATTGGCAGAGAGCATGTATAGTCCCTTTATATAAAGGGAAATGGACAAAAGAGACTGTAAAAATTATAGAGGAATAAGCTTACTGAGTATACCAGGAAAAGTGTACGGTAGGGTTATAATTGAAAGAATTAGAGGTAAGACAGAATGTAGGATTGCGGATGAGCAAGGAGGTTTTAGAGTAGGTAGGGGATGTGTAGATCAGGTGTTTACATTGAAGCATATATGTGAACAGTATTTAGATAAAGATAGGGAAGTTTTTATTGCATTTATGGATTTAGAAAAGGCATATGATAGAGTGGATAGAGGAGCAATGTGGCAGATGTTGCAAGTATATGGAATAGGTGGTAAGTTATTAAATGCTGTAAAGAGTTTTTATGAGGATAGTGAGGCTCAGGTTAGGGTGTGTAGAAGAGAGGGAGACTACTTCCCGGTAAAAGTAGGTCTTAGACAGGGATGTGTAATGTCACCATGGTTGTTTAATATATTTATAGATGGGGTTGTAAAGGAAGTAAATGCTAGGGTGTTTGGGAGAGGGGTGGGATTAAATTTTGGGGAATCAAATTCAAAATGGGAATTGACACAGTTACTTTTTGCTGATGATACTGTGCTTATGGGAGATTCTAAAAAAAATTGCAAAGGTTAGTGGATGAGTTTGGGAATGTGTGTAAAGGTAGAAAGTTGAAAGTGAACATAGAAAAGAGTAAGGTGATGAGGGTGTCAAATGATTTAGATAAAGAAAAATTGGATATCAAATTGGGGAGGAGGAGTATGGAAGAAGTGAATGTTTTCAGATACTTGGGAGTTGACGTGTCGGCGGATGGATTTTATGAAGGATGAGGTTAATCATAGAATTGATGAGGGAAAAAAGGTGAGTGGTGCGTTGAGGTATATGTGGAGTCAAAAAACGTTATCTATGGAGGCAAAGAAGGGAATGTATGAAAGTATAGTAGTACCAACACTCTTATATGGGTGTGAAGCTTGGGTGGTAAATGCAGCAGCGAGGAGACGGTTGGAGGCAGTGGAGATCTCCTGTTTAAGGGCAATGTGTGGTGTAAATATTATGCAGAAAATTCGGAGTGTGGAAATTAGGAGAAGGTGTGGAGTTAATAAAAGTATTAGTCAGAGGGCAGAAGAGGGGTTGTTGAGGTGGTTTGGTCATTTAGAGAGAATGGATCAAAGTAGAATGACATGGAAAGCATATAAATCTATAGGGGAAGGAAGGAGGGGTAGGGGTCGTCCTCGAAAGGGTTGGAGAGAGGGGGTAAAGGAGGTTTTGTGGGTAAGGGGCTTGGACTTCCAGCAAGCGTGCGTGAGCGTGTTAGATAGGAGTGAATGGAGACGAATGATACTTGGGACCTGACGATCTGTTGGAGTGTGAGCAGGGTAATATTTAGTGAAGGGATTCAGGGAAACCGGTTATTTTATATAGCCGGACTTGAGTCCTGGAAATGGGAAGTACAATGCCTGCACTTTAAAGGAGGGGTTTGGGATATTGGCAGTTTGGAGGGATATATTGTGTATCTTTATATGTATATACTTCTAAACTGTTGTATTCTGAGCACCTCTGCAAAAACAGTGATAATGTGTGAGTGTGGTGAAAGTGTTGAATGATGATGAAAGTATTTTCTTTTTTGGGTCACCCTGCCTCGGTGGGAGACGACCGACTTGTTAAAAAAAAAAAAAATAATAATAATAATTATATAATAATAATAATTATATAATAATAATTATAATAATTATAATAATTATAATAATAATAATTACTAAAATAATGAATACAATAAATAAATTTAATAAAAAATAATTAAATAATAGTACATAATTATAATAATTACTACAATTATATAACAATTATATAACAATTACTATAATAATTTTTTCCAATACATTAATACAAAAGTTTTATATAATCTCTAATCCAATAAATTACTTAATTACATTCATGAGGAGCATTAAACCTGTAGGGAGTCAACCAAGGTGTAGGAGGATGAAGGATAATGAGGTCTGATCCGAGGAAAGAAGATCACTCCAGTTCCTGGGATCAAGAGCCCTCCACTGGGGGTCAAAACCCATCACTTTAAAACAGGTTATTTAACTCGTAATATATCTTGTCAGTGTAATTACACTAACGGGCTAATTACCAGCCATTATAACCCACTTAGTAATTAACATCACACCCGTGTTAATTAACCCAATTCGCGATAAACCCGCAGGGGTAACAAGTGCCCCAGCAGACGACGCAGACCCAGTATTTACCCTGGTGTAGGACGTTATTTATCAGCCTGAGTCGCCCTACTGTCACCCAGGAATGTGTGGAGAAGTACAAAGTACCATGAACACCGTGATATAGCACCCTGGAGCAACATCTTGCAGGCTGGTGCAACAATTTCCAGCAGGAGAGAGCGCGGGGAGCCGCCACACCGGCCGCCATGTTGTTGTTGTCTCAGCTGCTACACATTCACAACTAACTTTATTATTTTTATCTTATTTATTTATTTATTTATTTATTTCCAATTTGTGCACACATACAGAGGTACAAAAAAAATACAGATAAGAGCAGTATGCCAAAGCCACTTATACTATGCATAGCATTACGGGCTGGCTTAAAATTAACTTAAGATTAACTAAGCAATGATTATTATTATTATTATAATCAAAAAGAAGCGCTAAGCCACAAGGACTATACAGCGCTGCTACTAAGCAATGATCAAATCAGTGATAAAACATTAATGTAAACAGATAACTATATAGTATATTAATGTTTTATTGTTTTTTTTAGTATTTAGGTTTTGCTATATTATATAAAGTTGTATAGCCCTTGTGGCTTAGCGCTTCTTTTTTGATTATAATAATAATATATTATATAAAAAAATAAATTTCTTTTTATATCTCTTCAAATGAATTTCTTAGGCATTCACAACGGCACAAAATTTTGTCACTCAGCTGCTACACATTCACAACTAACTTTATTATTTTTATCTTAGTATGTTAATGTTATATTGTTTTTGATATTTAGGTTTTGTTATATTATATGCAAAAAAAATATATTTCGTTTTATATCTTTTTAAAATAATTTATGAGGCATTCACAACGGTACAAAATTTTGTCCCTCTCAGCTGCTCCACATTCACAACTTAATTATTTTTATCTTCATATTTGAATGACGTATTATTTTTGGTATTTAGGTTTTATTATATTACGTACAAAAAATAAATTTCTTTTTATATATTTTGAAAATAACTTACAAGGCATTCATTCACAACACTACATTATTATAATCAAAAAGAAGCGCTAAACCACAAGGGCCATACAGGGCAGGAAGGAAGCGAGGATAGGGATAGGATAGGATAGGATTTCGTTCGGATTTTTAACCCCGGGGGGTTAGCCACCCAGGATAACCCAAGAAAGTCAGTGCGTCATCGAGGACTGTCTAACTTATTTCCATTGTGGTCCTTAATCTTGTCCCCCAGGATGCCACCCACACCAGTCCACTAACACCCAGGTACCTATTTGCTGCTAGGTGAACAGGACAACAGGTGTAAGGAAACGTGTCGAAATGTTTCCACCCGCCGGGAATCGAACCCGGGCCCTCCGTGTGTGAAGCGGGAGCTTTAGCCACCAGGCCACCGGGCCACCGGGCCACCGGGCATCAGGTGGTAAAAGGGAGATGGATGAGTAATAGGTTACGGAGAACAGCGGGGTAGTGGATGGTGGAAGGGCAGAGGGCAGCAAGAAACTGAGCTAGAAAGGGCTGAGAGGAGTGCGAAAGGTATCGTCATTAGAGTTTGTGGAGTAAATCAGTCGTTGTCAAGAAGTCTATGAGAGAGTCAGGATTAAAGGAGGGTCCATCAGCAAGAAGGGAAGGTAAAGAGAGAGTAGCAGAACGAAGACGACGTTGGAGGTAAATTCTGCATGCTCGTTGATAGAGAGGGCAGTCTAACAGAATGTGGCTAATCGATACTGGAACTTGACACTGCTCACAGAGAGGAACAGGGTGCCTCTCCATGAGATACCCATGAGTAAGACGAGTGTGACCAATGCGAAGGCGGGAGAGAGTGGTCTCCCAACCTCGGCACTGATGACAAGAAGACGGCCAGTAACCTATGCTCGGTTTAATAGAATGAAGATTGTTACCAAGCAGAGTTGACCAACGTTGTTGCCAACGGGTGTGAAGGTGGGCAGCTATTGTAGCAAAATAGTCCAGAAATGGAACACCACTATATGAAACTGGTAGGTCATGTACTGCTGACCGCGCAGCAGTGTCTGCCTGTTCATTGCCCTGTACGTCAACATGACCAGGGACCAGGGACTGCACTCATAGAAGAAGCAGAGGTGATGGTGGAAACATAGTCACGCCAGCAAGTGCGTTTAGCATCACGGATGACACGGCGAGCGATCACACGCTTCTGCTTAAAATCAAGAAGTCTCTCATTGGTTCTATTGTACCGGTACCTGCCCCACGCAGCCCGTTTCAAACGTACTGCACGAGCACAAGCAGGAGACCACCAAGGCACACACTTCTGAGAATGCCTGCCTGAGGTTTGGGGTATAGAATGAGAAGCTGCAGTATAAACTGACGTCGAGAAGAGGTGTAGGAGCTCATCAATGGAGGATGAAGAAGGAACCTCACTAAAAGCAGTGAGTTGCGAGTAAAGGTCCCAATTTGCCCGATCAAATTGCCAGGTGGATATGAAGGAGAAGTAAGAATGATTGGAAAATGATCACTGTCATGTAAGTCCGGTAGAACAGACCAGGTGAAGTCTAGTGCAGTGGAGGAAGAGCAGACTGATAGATCGATGCAAGATAGAGTATGAGTACGAGGATCAAAATGGGTGGGAGTACCCGTATTTAAAACATGGAGGGGGTGAGAGGCGAGAAAAGCCTCCAACTGGATGCCACGTGAGTCACAATGAGACCCCCCCCCAGAGGAAATGGTGGGCATTGAAATCACCAAGTAACAGAAGTGGTGGTTTACCTGGAGTTTACCTGGAGAGAGTTCCGTGGGTCAACACCCCCGCGGCCCGGTCTGTGACCAGGCCTCCTGGTGGATCAGAGCCTGATCAACCAGGCTGTTGCTGCTGGCTGCACGCAAACCAACGTACAAGCCACAGCCCGGCTGGTCAGGAACCGACTTTAGGTGCTTGTCCAGTGCCAGCTTGAAGACTGCCAGGGGTCTGTTGGTAATCCCCCTTATGTATGCTGGGAGGCAGTTGAACAGTCTCGGGCCCCTGACACTTATTGTATGGTCTCTTAACGTGCTAGTGACACCCCTGCTTTTCATTGGGGGGATGGTGCATCGTCTGCCAAGTCTTTTGCTTTCGTAGTAAGCGATTTTCGTGTGCAAGTTCGGTACTAGTCCCTCTAGGATTTTCCAGGTGTATATAATCATGTATCTCTCCCTCCTGCGTTCCAGGGAATACAGGTTCAGGAACCTCAAGCGCTCCCAGTAATTGAGGTGTTTTATCTCCGTTATGCGCGCCGTGAAGGTTCTCTGTACATTTTCTAGGTCAGCAATTTCACCTGCCTTGAAAGGTGCTGTTAGTGTGCAGCAATATTCCAGCCTAGATAGAACAAGTGACCTGAAGAGTGTCATCATGGGCTTGGCCTCCCTAGTTTTGAAGGTTCTCATTATCCATCCTGTCATTTTTCTAGCAGATGCGATTGATACAATGTTATGGTCCTTGAAGATGAGATCCTCCGACATGATCACTCCCAGGTCTTTGACGTTGGTGTTTCGCTCTATTTTGTGGCCAGAATTTGTTTTGTACTCTGATGAAGATTTAATTTCCTCGTGTTTACCATATCTGAGTAATTGAAATTTCTCATCATTGAACTTCATATTGTTTTCTGCAGCCCACTGAATGATTTGGTTGATGTCCGCCTGGAGCCTTGCAGTGTCTGCAATGGAAGACACTGTCATGCAGATTCGGGTGTCATCTGCAAAGGAAGACACGGTGCTGTGGCTGACATCCTTGTCTATGTCGGATATGAGGATGAGGAACAAGATGGGAGCGAGTACTGTGCCTTGTGAACAGAGCTTTTCACCGTAGCTGCCTCGGACTTTACTCTGTTGACGACTACTCTCTGTGTTCTGTTAGTGAGGAAAATTATAGATCCATCGACCGACTTTTCCTGTTATTCCTTTAGCACGCATTTTGTGCGCTATTACGCCATGGTCACACTTGTCGAAGGCTTTTGCAAAGTCTGTATATATTACATCTGCATTCTTTTTATCTTCTAGTGCATTTAGGACCTTGTCGTAGTGATCCAATAGTTGAGACAGACAGGAGCGACCTGTTCTAAACCCAGTTGCCCTGGGTTTGTGTAACTGATGGTTTCTAGATGGGTGGTGATCTTGCTTCTTATAACCCTTTCAAAGATTTTTATGATAGGGGATGTTAGTGCTATTGGTCTGTAGTTCTTTGCTGTTGCTTTACTGCCCCCTTTGTGGAGTGGGGCTATGTCTGTTGTTTTTAGTAACTGTGGGACGACCCCCGTGTCCATTGCTGCCTCTCCATAGGATGGAAAAGGCTCGTGATGGGGGCTTCTTGCAGTTCTTGATGAACACAGAGTTCCATGAGTCTGGCCCTGGGGCAGAGTGCATGGGCATGTCATTTATCGCCTGTTCGAAGTCATTTGGCGTCAGGATAACATGGGATAGGCTTGTGTTAATCAAATTTTGTGGCTCTCTCATAAAAAATTAATTTTGATCTTCGACTCTCAGTCTGGTTAGTGGCTTGCTAAAAACTGAGTCATATTGGACTTGAGTAGCTCACTCATTTCGTTGCTGTCATCTGTGTAGACCCATCTTGTTTAAGTAGAGGCCCAATACTGGACGTTGTTCTCGATTTTGATTTGGCATAGAGAAGAAATACTTGGGTTTCTTTCGATTTCATTTATGGCTTTTAGTTCTTCCCACGATTCCTGACTCCTAAAGGATTCTTTTAGCTTAAGTTCGATGCTTGCTATTTCTCTGACCAGTGTCTCCCTACGCATTTCAGATATATTGACCTCTTTTAGCCGCTCTGTTATTCTTTTCCGTCGCCTGTAAAGGGAGCGCCTGTCTCTTTCTGTTTTACATCTACTCCTCCTTTTTCTTAGAGGAATAAGCCTTGTGCATACATCGAGTGCCACCGAGTTAATCTGTTAATCTGTGTTGCTTAGTATATCTTCCCAGCTTATATCGGTTAGGACTTGGTTTACTTGGTCCCACTTTATGTTTTTGTTATTGAAGTTGAATTTGGTGAATGCTCCCTCGTGACTAATCTCATTATGTCAGTCTGGGGCTCCGCGCATACATGACTGAACCTCAATTATGTTGTGATCTGAGTATATTGTTTTTGATATGGTGACATTTCTTATCAGATCATCATTGTTAGTGAAGATGAGGTCTAGTGTATTCTCCAGTCTAGTAGGCTCTATTATTTGCTGGTTTAAATTGAATTTTGTGCAGAGATTTAAAAGCTCGTGCGAGTGTGAGTTTTCATCAGAGCTGCCTCCTAGTGTTATTACTGCAACAATATTATTTGCTATATTCCTCCATTTTAGGTGCCTTAAGTTGAAATCCCCCAGGAGCAAGATGTTGGGTGCAGGAGCTGGAAGATTTTCCAGACATTGGTCAATTTTTAACAGCTGTTCCTGGAATTGCTGGAATGTTGCATCCGGAGGCTTGTAGACTACCACAATGACTAGGTTTTGGTTCTCGACCTTTACTGCTAAAACTTCCACTACGTCATTTGAGGCATTAAGCAGTTCTGTGCAAACAAGTGACTCTGCAATGTACAGGCCAACCCCCCCCCTTTTGCCTGTTCACTCTGTCACATCTGTATAGGTTGTAAGCTGGGATCCATATTTCGTTGTCCAAGTGATCCTTTATGTGGGTCTCAGTGAAAGCCGCGAACATTGCCTTTGCCTCTGCAAGCAGTCCATGGATGAAAGGTATTTTGTTGTTTGTTGCTGGCTTTAGACCCTGTATATTTGCAAAGAAGAATGTTATCGGACTGGTGGTATTGTTGGTACTGGGGGGGGATTTTTTTTCCGGCATTAGTATCTGTATCTGTTGGTTTGGAGTGGAGGCCATCGACTGTGGTTCCACTCCAGGAATGACTGGATTTGGTGTACGATTTCTGCCATTTCCTGCCAGTTTTTTTTCCTTCCTGGCACTAAAAAACCTCTCCCTCTTGAGTGGCTGTGGCTACATGTATACCTTGTACATGTATTAATAGATATTATTATTATTGTAAACCTGAATAAACATTATTATTATTATTATTATTATTATTGTTATTGTTGTTACATTTTAATTCGAGTTTCGCTGAAAGCAAAAAAAAAAAAAATATATAAATATATTATTTACGATACACTCATAACAGCACAATTATTTATCATGATAAATTTAGTTCACAAGTTTTTTTTACATCGCAAAATGCTAAAAAAAAAACACTAAAAAATTATTAAAAAAATATATAAACTCAACGAGTTTATTCTTGAATGTTTAGGGGAGGGAGGTCTGCCTGACCCCCAAGTTTATCAGGAAATATAACTTTAATAGGGTCTGTGGGAAATATTTCTGGCGTATTGAATATTATTTTAAAATTGGAAATGATGAGAGAGGAATTGTGTAGAAATTAGATAGTTGTTATATACGAGTCGAAATTTATGGATAAATTGGTTTTTATGGTGTTATGTGAGATTGTATGGTAGAGTTAATTTGGGGTTATTAATAGTTAAAAATGAGATATAACTAGCTTGGTGTTAGTATAATTATATGGGCATAATTAAATACGAGTTATCCGTTTTTTAAAGTGAGAAATAAAGATAAATGATAGTAAATAAAGGTGGACGGTGTAAAAAGTCCTAATTTTAGTGGGGGAGATGGTAACGATCGGGCGGCCCAGCTGAGGCTGTCAGCCATCGTGTCCAGAGTTCAACCTTTATTTTGTGTGTTATTGGCGGACATACCTCGCCGTCGTAGCTGTGCTCCAGCTCCCGTGGCTGCCCCTCGCCCCTCACTAGTCATGGCTGTCCAACACTCACGCAGGACTGACGGTTTACTTATATATACGAACTACAAATAAGACCCCAGCGCCTCTGAAAATATAAAAATTCTTAATATTTAAGGGTTGAGGGGGAGGTCCGCCGCTCTAGGCCTATAGTGTGGCAGTTTCTTATAGGCCTACCTGCCCTCTGTGTCGCCAAATAAGGGGATAAAATAATATGCTTGTGTTACGGAGGTATCACTAAGTCCCAGAAGGTTGGGAGTTTATCTATCTTATCTATCTGCTTCTGGATTTATTTCCTCCCTTTAATCACCCTTTCCCCCCCTTGGGCCGCCTCTCCCTCCCTCCCCCCACCCCCACAAGATCATGTTTCGACTCCACGGGGACCTAGCCTAGGCCTAGTCTAGGCCGCCATCACCGCCATCTAGGCCTAGTCTAGGCCGCCATCACCGCCATCTAGGCCGCCATCACTGCCATCTAGGCCGCTGCCATCACCGTCGTCGCCCGGGCCCCCCCAAGACTCCTGTATTATGACCGACATGGTAAAAGCGCGGAACTACGACGAAGACGGATTTGTTAAGCGAGCGGCTTGTATATGTGTCAACGAGGACGAGACGCAGGTACGACCCCAGGCTGGCCAGGGTCCGTCACTACCATCACTGATGTAACGCTGGGTCTCCGCACCACTCTGGGGGAGCCTTGTGGCACACTGGGGGAGCCTTGTGGCACTCTGGGGGAGCCTTGTGGCACTCTGGGGGAGCCTTGTGACACTGGGGGAGCCTTGTGGCACTCTGGGGGAGCCTTGTGGCACTGGGGGAGCCTTGTGGCACTGAGGGAGCCTTGTGGCACTGGGGGAGCCTTGTGACACTGGGGGAGCCTTGTGGCACTCTGGGGGAGCCTTGTGGCACTCTGGGGGAGCCTTGTGGCACTCTGGGGGAGCCTTGTGGCACTCTGGGGGAGCCTTGTGGCACTGGGGGGAGCCTTGTGGCACTCTAGGGGAGCCTTGTGGCACTCTGAGGGGTCCTTGTGGCACTGGGGGAGCCTTGTGGCACTCTGGGGGAGCCTTGTGGCACTCTGGGGGAGCCTTGTGGCACTCTGGGGGAGCCTTGTGGCACTCTGAGGGGTCCTTGTGGCACTGGGGGAGCCTTGTGGCACTCTGGGGGAGCCTTGTGGCACTCTGGGGGAGCCTTGTGGCACTCTGGGGGAGCCTTGTGGCACTGGGGGAGCCTTGTGGCACTCTGGGGGAGCCTTGTGGCACTCTGAGGGGTCCTTGTGGCACTGGGGGAGCCTTGTGGCACTGGGGGGAGCTCTGTGGCACTGGGGGGGCCTTGTGGCACTCTGGGGGCCTTGTGGCACTCTGGGGGGTCCTTGTGGCACTCAGGGTCCTTGTGGCACTCTGGGGGAGCCTTGTGGCACTCTGGGGGAGCCTTGTGGCACTGGGGGAGCCTTGTGGCACTCTGGGGGAGCCTTGTGGCACTGGGGGAGCCTTGTGGCACTGGGGGAGCCTTGTGGCACTGGGGGAGCCTTGTGGCACTCTGGGGGGTCCTTGTGACACTGGGGGAGCCTTGTGGCACTCTGGGGGAGCCTTGTGGCACTCTGGGGGAGCCTTGTGGCACTCTGGGGGAGCCTTGTGGCACTGGGGCAGCCTTGTGGCACTGAGGGAGCCTTGTGGCACTGGGGCAGCCTTGTGGCACTCTGATGGAGCCTTGTGGCACTGGGGCAGCCTTGTGGCACTGGGGCAGCCTTGTGGCACTGAGGGAGCCTTGTGGCACTCTGGGGAAGCCTTATGGCACTGGGGGAGCCTTGTGGCACCCTGGGGGAGCCTTGTGGCACCCTGGGGGAGCCTTGTGGCACTGGGGCAGCCTTGTGGCACTCTGAGGGAGCCTTGTGGCACTGAGGGAGCCTTGTGGCACTGGGGGAGCCTTGTGGCACTGGGGCAGCCTTGTGGCACTGAGGGAGCCTTGTGGCACTCTGGGGCAGCCTTGTGGCACTCTGGAGGAGTCTTGTGGCACTGGTGCAGCCTTGTGGCACTCTGAGGGAGCCTTGTGGCACTCGGGGAGCCTTGTGGCACTGGGGGAGCCTTGTACCCTGGGGGAGCCTTGTGGCACTCGGGCAGCCTTGTGGCACTGGGGCAGCCTTGTGGCACTCTGGGGGAGCCTTGTGGCACTGGGGGAGCCTTGTGGCACTCTGGGGACCATTGTGGCACTTGGGGATCCTTGTGGCACTGGGGGATCCTGGCACCAGGGGATCCTTGTGGCACTGAGGATCCTTGTGGCACTCTGGGGTATCCTTGTGGCACTCTGGGGATCCTTCTGGCACACTGGAGGATCCTTGTGGCACTCTGGGGGATCCTTCTGGCACTGGGGGATTCTTGTCACTGGAGGATCCTTGTGGCACTCAGGGGATCCTTGTGGCACTGTGGGATCCTTGTGGCACTCTGGGGGATCCTTGTACTCTGGGGATCCTTGTGGCACTCTGGGGATCCTTGTGGCACTCTGGGGGATCCTTGTGGCACTCTGAGAATTCTTGTGGCACTGGGGGATTCTTGTGGCACTCTGGGGGACCCTAGTGGCACTCTGGAGGATCCTTGTGGCACTCTGGGGGATCCTTGTGGCACTCTGGGGGATCCTTGTGGCACTCTGGGGATCCTGGCACACTGGAGGATCCTTGTAGCACTCTGGGGGATCCTTGTGGCACTCTGGGGGATCCTTGTGGCACTGGGGGATCCTTGTGGCACTCTGGGGTATCCTTGTGGCACTCTGGGGTATCCTTGTGGCACTCTGGGGATCCTTAGCACTGGAGGATCCTTGTCACTGGCACACTGGAGGATCCTTGTCACTGGCACACTGGAGGATCCTTGTGGCACTCAGGGGATCCTTGTGGCACTGTGGGATCCTTGTGGTACTCTGGGATCCTTATGGCACTCTGGGGATCCTTGTGGCACTCTGGGGATCCTTGTGGCACTCTGGGGTCCCTTGTGGCACTGGGGATTCTTGTGGCAATGGAGGACCTATGTGGCATTCTGGAGGATCCTTGTGGCACTGGGGATCCTTGTGGCACTCTGGGGGACCCTAGTGGCACTCTGGAGGATCTTTGTGGCACTGGGGGATCCTTGTGGCACTCTGGGGGATCCTTGTGGCACTCTGGGGACCATTGTCGCACTGGGGGATCCTTGTGGCATTCTGGAGGATCCTTGTGGTACTCTGGGGGATCCATGTGGCATTCTGGAGAATCCTTGTCACTGGGGGATCCTTGTGGCACTCTGGGGACCATTGTGGCACTCTGGGGGATTCTTGTGGCACTGGGGGATCCTTGTGACACTCTGGGAACCATTGTGGCACTCTGGGGGATTCTTGTGGCACTGGGGGACCCTTGTGGCACTCTGGGGGACCCTTGTAGCACTTGGGGGTGGAACCCTTGTAGCACTCTGGGGGACCTTTGTAGCACTTCGTGGCCCCTTATAGTACTAAAAGGGCCCCTGTTACTATTCCAGAGCCCCTTGTAGTGCTAAAAGAGTTCATGGAGTGCTCTAGGGATCCTTAAAGCACTCTGGGGCTCCTTGTAGTACTATAAGGGGCCCCTTGTGGTGCTATGCCTGGAATATACCTGGTGAGAGTCAAGGGTCAACGCCCCCACGGCTCAGTCTGTGACCAAGCTGCAGGGGCACATTGTAGTGGTAAAAGGGGTCCCTGGAGTGCTCTAGGGACCCTTGTAGCACTCTGGGACCCATTGTAGTACTAAAAGTCCCCTAGAGTTCCCCAGGGACTCCTGTAGCACACCAGGGCACCTTTTTGTACTACAAGGGACCCCTCATAGTGCTTTGGGGCCTCTTATAGCACCCCAGGGCCCCTGATACCTCTATCCATTGTTTGCTGTATATATTGAGTATCCTGTGTATGTAATATCCATGGTGTGGGGTACTACGGGTAGGCCAGAGTATCAACATCAGTGTCGATTAACTTTGGATGATTTTGATGGTATCGACCTAAAATTTAGCACCATATTATCAGTGTATTGGCTAATCTTGACATCGGTGGTTATCAACTAATTTTGATATCAGTTGGTATGAGTGAATTTTGATATCGGTGGGTATGGGCGAATTTTGGCAACATTGGCTTGAAATTGAATGTTGGTATTGGCCAAAAAAAAAGGGGGGGAGGGGAGCGTTCCATCCTTACTTTACAAGTTACGTAGGATCAAGTTTTAGTGGGGGGGGGGGAAGGTTGCCTATAATCAAGATTTTTTTTTCCTTCTAATGCCAGATATTTTTTCACTGAGTTATGACTGTTTTAAAAGCTCCTTGCTTATAATGATTATACTTAAAATAGTTATAATTATTATTACTGAGCTCTAAACCCACATAGTGAAGGTGAAGAAAGGATAGGTTAAAGACACTTCAACCACTTCATAAGTAGTGTTGGGGATAATATGTAATGGTGATGGAGCGAGTGATGATGAAAGTGTTTCTTCTTTTCTGGTGTCGCCCTGTCTCGGGGAAATGGCCAATGTGTTAAAACAAAACAAATGCTCGCCGAAAAATGCACCATACAGGACGTTTATCAGAGGGAATATTTCACAGCGATTGCCATTTTCAGTCCTGTTATAGAGAGACAGGAGGACCCTACATGTACTACAGCCATTGTTCATTATGTTCTACTTGCTGGCAGTTATCACAAGCAAGTGAAACAATGGCTGAGTTGAAAGCCAACAAAAATGTGGAACACTGAAAAGACCTGCTGTATATGTGAGGCCCTCCCAGGAGGGCCCCACTTATACAGCAGGTTCGGTTCTGGGTTACTACTGTACAGGAGGTTCCTGCTTATACAGCAGGTTCCTGCTTATACAGCAGGTTCCTGCTTATACAGCAGGTTCCTGCTTATACAGCAGGTTCCTGCTTATACAGCAGGTTCCTGCTTATACAGCAGGTTCCTGCTTATACAGGAGGTTCCTGCTTATACAGGAGGTTAGGTTCTAGGTTACTTCTTGAAGGCTCTGGACTGGCACTTAGTACCTGATCAGCCGGGCTGTGGTTCGAATGTTGTTTTACGTGCAGCCAGCAGTAACAGCCTGGTTGATCAGGCTCTGATCCACCATGAGGCCTGGTCACAGACCGGGCTGTGGGGGTATCGACCCGTAAAACCCTCTCCAGGTACTGCTCCAATTATGGTGTTATGTTTTACTTCGATGGTACCGTTCTCACTACATGTTTAACATGTTTAACATGTTTAACATGTTTTAACATGCTTAACCCTTAAACGGTCCAAACAAATCGACGTTCAAATTCGTAGCTACAACAATAGATTTACTTTTTTTAACATATTTTCAAATGTAACAAAAAAAAATGTAGATAAAAGTTTTTTTTACAAGTTTTCAAATGTAAAACAAAAAAGAAGATCTACATTTTTACATACTTTCAGATGTTAAAAAAACGTATATATACGTTTGGACCGTTTACGGGTTAAATAAGATCTTATACAGTCTAGGGGAATACTTATTCATGATTGGTCGTCCTCAGTTTCTGAAATCTTTTCACCAACCCTCTCAACAAGTTATTTAAACTACTATTACAAAAATAGGAATATTTTCTAGACAGACAAAATACATTGACAAACATTCACAAAAATACAATAGAAAGTAAAATAACCTAGACAACTCAGAGCTACATCTCGAATACTTCGTCCAGCATATATACAGTGGACCCCCGGTTTACGATGTTATTTCACTCCAGAAGTATGTTCAGGTGCCAGTACTGACCGAATTTGTTCCCATAAGGAATATTGTGAGTTAGATTAGTCCATTTCAGACCCCCAAACATACACGTACAAACGCACTTACATAAATACACTTACATAATTGGTCGCATTGGGAGCTGATCGTAAAGCGGGGATCCACTGTATACAAGTTAATCATTTTCCTATTCATAACAAGGATTCAAACCCTTAACTGTTCTGCCAATACAGTCACACAGTCTATGTGAATCAATTAATACTCCTTTCCTCCTGATGACCTTAACTCAGCGTTCTGACGCACTGTGGTCACTCTGGGTATAATGGTTACATCATATTAAAGCACAAATCTTACCTTTGGGGCACTCACATCTTGTCCAGAAGCAAGAGTAGAGGAAGAGGAGATGTTACCATGGTGATGCCAACACAGACAGTGAGGGATCCCCACCTTGTCTCTCCCATCTACCCCAACAACAACAAACAAAAGACTGTTGACATGCCCAATTCTATAGCTAATACAATAATTTTGTTTTTTCCACTACTACACCTTATTTTACTTTAAAAAATAAGAAATACAAACTCTATAACTACTAATTTTAATTGTGGTGTATAGTACAACCTATTTATATTGAAAAAAAAAAAAAGAGCTTGGCTCAACAGGACCCTTTTTCCCATAAGACTGATCTACCTTTATGATACAATTAAAGCAATTGTGCTTCCCATCAGTTTAATTAGGTATTCCAAAGTGAGTTACTACTACAGTGGAACCTCAAAAATCGAACTTCTCCCAACACGACCAATTATGTAAGTGTAGTTTTGTAAGTGCTTTTATAAGTGTATTTTTAATGGTCTGAAATGAACTAATCTAATTTACATTATTCCTGATGGGAATAAATTCATTCGGTAAAGGCACTCGAACAGCCTTCTGGACCGAAGAAAGTTCGATATTTGAGGTTCCACTGTACTTAGATACATGTTGGGTCCTATAGCCCCATAACATATGGTATTGTACCTTTTTGTTCTTTGAGGGAAAGTATATTCTTCATCTTATGGCTTGGGCTGACGTTCATGGCTTGCAAATTATAGTAAGTTTATGTAGGTACAGGTATACATAAATATAGTTACACAAATTATCATAGTACAGAGCGACCACTACTAATCCGGCATCATTGGGACTTCATTCTACTACGTACATCTTCCTCATTTTCATCACTGCTTTCTCCTCGACTGGCTTGTTGCCGTGGACTTACAACCATCTGCACAATTTCTGAGCCGAAATTAGTGCCGGATTAGCGATGGAACTGGATTAGTGATGGCTGACCTGTAATGTGTGTAAATTACCTAATATGCATTACTAAGTAGTGCTTCTCAAAGCAGGTGTTGCTGGTGTCTTCACGTCGTGACTCTGAGCTATGGATCGTTCCGGGGGGCGGGGTAGAGCCCAACGAGCTTCCAGACATGGCTGCCATCAGGGAAGTTCGAGAAGAGGCGGGAGTATGTGGAATGTTGGGTCGCTGCCTCGGTGTCTTTGAGGTGAGGAGTCTTACCTGCATTTATCTGTTAACTTGTCCACTATTAACCCACAGCTTGAAAAGAGGTGAGATTTTGTTTGATTTTTAAACCCGGAGGGTTAACTACTCAGGATAACCCAAGAAAGGCAGTGTATCGTCAAAGACTGTCTGTCTGATTTCCATTGGAATCAGGGTCCTCAATCTTGTCCCCTAGGATGCGACTCACACAAATCAACTAACACCCAGGTACCTACTTGCTTGCTAGGTGAACAGGACAGTGGGTGTAAGGAAACATGCCCAATGTTTCCACCCTTGCCGGGAATTGAACCACGGACAGTGTGTTGCCTACCAGGCCACAGACTTTGCAAAGTGTTCCAGCCAAGGTATTGTGATGTTTCACACACATAATAACTTGCTGGTGTTGCATCTAATGATGGAATGTGCATTTTTCCCAAGCTTGGCATGCACCTTAATAGCTTTGTAATTCTAGTGTGCTGCTAAGAATTACAGAAGTTAACTGGTTTATGATACAGTATGTGATGTCATTGGTTTAGAAAACTGAGAGGTTGAAGAATGTGAAACTTGAAACAGTTGGTAATCTTTATTGAGGTGGAAGATGAGGAGTTTGAGGGACTGATTACCTCAAACTCCTCATCTTCCACTATTCTTCTCTGTATTGGACTGAAGAAGCCACTGGCTGGCAAAATGTTCCCTCGATAAAGGTTCCCAAATGTTGCATGGGTGTCTGATTCTTGTGATACAGTAGTTTTGCTTGTGTAATGGCACTGTATATACCAAACAAGTGTACTAACAACCCTCAGTCGTATACATCACCTTGAACCTGTTGTCACTCAACTAAAATCTCCTATATGAATGATCTCTCGAATTAGGTTCTAGGTAACATGCATGCCCCTCTATTAAAAATTTAAATCTGCTCAATGCGGAAAATATTTATGCCCTACCATTGTGCGTACTGTGTTTATACAACACTAACCCTACAACACACTACTCTGCCACTACAACACACTAACACCGACCCAGTATTTAGGCTTCTCGGAGAGCTGCAGCAGGACACACACAGCAAGTGTCTCCTTTACATGCAACATATTCATCTTAACCTATTTAGATATTCCCTTTAAATTAACCCTTTCAGGGTCCAAGGCCCAAATCTGGAGTCACGCACCAGTGTCCAAGAATTTTCAAAAAAAAAATTTGTTATTTTTTCTTATGAAATCGTAGAGAATCTTTTTGTGAAGGTAATAAAACAAAAAGTACGAAATTTGGTGGAAAATTGACGAAATTATGCTCTCGCGAATTTTGATGTCTCAGCGATATTTACGAATCGGCGATTTTGCCGAATTTGACTCCCATTTTAGGCCAATTACATTATTCCAATCAACCAAATTCTTAGCTATTTCACTAGTATTACTTCTATTCTATCGATTGAGCACAAGAAATCGCCAAGTCAACTGTTTCAACTACAAAATAAAGTGATCGGAAATTGTTAATTTGGCCAATTTAACACAAAGTTCAAAATATTCCAATTTCAAAATAGGGTCCAGAATGAACAATGTAGGCATTCTTGGCACTAAACTAACATTTCCTATGTTCATTAGTTATGTTTTGAGGCTTTACAAATAAATTCCATTTTGATTTTTTATTCACATAATGAATTTTTATTCACACCAAAAAATAGAAGATTTACTGTTATGCAATATTGTAATAATTGTATAAATATCATCACCATATTTGTGAATGTATATTAGACCCACCAGCTGACGTGTATTAGATGTGTGAGGTCGTTTGTTTACTCTTGAATATCGGCAAAAATTTAACATTTCTGCTACTTTGAGCTCAGTTTCAAGCCATTTCCAGTGCTAAAACCAATCAAAATCATCTCTATTTCTGTAATATGTCTTCCATTCTATCAAATGAGACCAAGAAATCGCAAATACAACTATAAAAAACATACGAAAAAACACTGCAAAGTTGCTGTTTTAATCGAAAAATCATGATTTCAGTTTTTTTTCTCTCATTATACACAGTGTGCTGCAGGATCTGTTTTATGTGGTGCACACATACCACATAGATGTATTCTCTCATATCTAGGCCCAAATGTACGACTCACAGTTTATCAGAGTGAGCTGAGCTCATGGCGTAGATCTACGGTTTGGACCCTGAACGTAAAGCCGTAGATCTACGGGACGGACCCTGAAAGGGTTAAAGGCCCTAAAATCTGGAACTCACTACCTGAAATGCAAAAAAATTTATATCTGCCAACTGGTACTTTAAAAATTCCTTAAACTCATTTTTGTCTTGATTATAAATAATGTCTGTATACCTATTGTAACTTACTCTCATCTGTGGTAACCTATGGTAACATCGACACTTATGTACTATTGTTGCCACCTGTTTTGGTCACCTAATATTTTTCCACAATTTATGTTCAGTTTTGTCTACTGTCTCTACATATTATAAGTATCAATGTTTAATTTCATGCAGTGCAAAACTAACTTTCCTATATACGTATTTCATTTCTTTTAATTTATTTCTTCCTCTGCATAATTAGTGGGCTTTTCCAGTAGTTTGTAGTTACATTATTGAAACTACTGCTTTGGTAACTATTTTTGTATTTGTAACTTTTGTAAGCTCTGTTTGGGAATGAAATTCATTAACATTTTCAGTTTCAGCCATGGTATTGCGAGTTATTTCTGCTCGGTAGTTTTGCATTATCTGCGAATGGTGGCTTGTCAAAATACATCCTCCACGATAGGTTGTTTCCTTATACGAGGCAGAGTACTGTCTGGGTCATAGTTATCCGTAGGGAGGAAGAACTTTTAAGCTCTTCTTTTATTACGACTTGTCCCCCATCTTTCACAGTACTACTGTATAGGGCTTAGAAGTTGTCTTAGGGTACTCCTCTTTTGCTGCACTTGAACCTCCATCTCATACCATGACTTGTCTCCTGTCTTTCAGGTATGCCTTAATCCATGCTAGCACCTTTCCTGTCACCCCGGTCTACAACACCAGTTTGTGTCAGTCTCCTGTGGGGACCCCTGTGTCCAAAGGCGTTCTTGCCGTCAAGGAAGATGCAGTCTGCCCACCCCTCCCTTTCCTGCCTGATCTATGTCAGCCTGTCATAGGGAATTATTGAGTGTGTGAGGTAGGCGTTGCGATTTGTCCGACTCTCTATGTGGGTCTTTCTGGTATTCATATTTTTCAGGGATCTTGGCAGGAGTACGGCATATATACGTATATAAACTGAGAGGCTATTTTAGGTATTAAAAGTATTTGTGACTGGTGGTGAACAGGTTACATGCAGCCTTAACCCTTTCACTGTTGGTCCCGTACTGTTACGGCTTTGAAGCCAGTGTCAATCTCGTAATACTACGCCAAAATTCTAGCAGCTTCCAGTCTTGCGGGAGATAACTGGTAGGCCTACATATGAAAGAATAGGTCTGAGGGGTTAGTGTAAGCAATATAAAAGAGGGTGGTATAGGGTAAGGAGTGCCGTTTGGGGGTACATAGTACCCTATCTTGGGAAGGATGCTTACTAATTTGGAAATTTTCTTAGATATATGCCGGATGTGGGAATGAAATTTAAGATTAGTCAAGGAGAAGACCTAGAGATTTACCCTCAATGTGTCTTGTAATGGGGGAACCATTTATCAGTATGTTAAGTTGGATATTTAAGGCTCTGTTTCCAAACAGCTTCAGTAGGTTTTATCTATATTGAGAGTGAGTGTGTTGGTCATCATCCAAGTACATATTTTTTGCAGCTCGTCGTTTACAGTGTCTCTAAGTATAACCAGGTTTGAGTGGGAGAAGACATAAGTAGTGTCATATGCAAAAGTTGTTTGTGTATTATATTTTTTTGAAGATTTTAGAAAGCAAGGCACGTTTGATATAGGTCTGTAATTGTTCAGATCAGTTGGATCGCCTTTGAGGATCGAGGTGACTGTTGCTGTCTTGAGTATGGATGGGAAAGTTGACGATGTTACAAATTTGTTAAACAATGTTTTTATAATTGGTGACAGCACATGAGCGACTTTAAATGATTTACTGAGTGAGACTTCCATAGAATTTGTTGGTGCTAGATATAGAGTATTTGGGTAGTTACCAGTGAGGTAGTCTTTTGGCTGAATATTTGAGCTTGGTATTTTGCTTGCTAGTTTTGATCCTACAGTAGAGAAGAAGACATTAAGTTTGTTGGCAGTGTCTATATGCTGTATGTGAGGTCCATTTGGTTTAGTCGAGTACTGAAATTTCTCGTTGAGGTTGTTTGTATGATCTACTTGTCCTGCTACCCCATCTTTCATGTATGCAATAATTACAAAGAAGCTATAAATGATAATGGAACACTACACATATAACCCACACATAGAAGAGAGGAGCTTATGACGATGTTTTGGTCTGACTTGGACCATTTACAAAGTGTGACTTTGTAAATGGTTCAAATCAGACCGAAATATTGTCGAAAGCTCCTCTCTCCTATGTACAGGTTATTTGTGTAGTGTTTCATTCACAAAATTGTGCCTTTTTGTTCTTGATGATGGATTGTATTTTTATGCATTGATGATTGATGGATTGTATTTTTATGCGTTGATGATGGATTGTTATTTTGTCCATCATTATGATGCAACAATTGCGAACGAGCCATAAAAGATACAAAATAACAACAGGGAGAGTTGAATGATAGCTCTAGGCCTTTTGTATTGTAATCAACACATGAACTTGCAGTGTTGCAGAAATGAGGCAGATTCGTTCAGTGAAACTATCCAGAATCTGCCTGGACATCCGGAGATTGCAGTACTGCAATCTCCGGATGTGTTAATTGCAACACGAAAGGCCTAGAGCTATCATTCAACTCCCCCTGTGTTTATTTTGTATAATTATGTATATATAGTTTATTATGCAATAAAATCACAGTAAACAGGTGATACCACAATGTGCAAAACCACTGAAAAATTAGTAAGCCTTGAGTGGTTTTGTGATTTCTCACATTATCAAAGCCCTGTAAAAATAATATTGGGACGGGTGTAATGTTGTATGCGAGGTGATACCTCAGCCTTATAAGCCTTCTGCTGTTCTGTTATTTTTACAGATTCTTGATTTTGTGAGAAATCACAAAAGCACTTGGAAGTTCACTATTTTTCACAGTGGTTCTTTTGCATACTTTATTATGCAAAATGGTGCAGTGTGTGTTTTAAAATTGATGATTCTCATTCACATGTATTCCCCTTCCTGTCCCCCTTGTCAGGACACACAGGGAGGCCACGACGACTTCTTAAAAACCAAGGCAAGCTTTCTCTTATGCACTTGAGGCTGACTTGACAGTCACCACAGCTCCAGACAGCCTCTTCTTGCTCTAGATGTGACAGCTTGCATCTCCTCTCTGTACACACTGAAGTGTTTGCCATACGGGAGGGCCACACAGCACCTCTTTTCAGTGTTGCACAGTTTCGTTGGCTTCAAATTGAGCCATTGTTCATTATGTTCCACCCACCGGCGGGTGGAACAGTGGCTCAATTGAGAACCAGTGAAAAGAGGTACTGTGAATGTGGAGCCCTTCTGTATTTAGTCTAGTTTCTGTACTTGCTCAGTGTACTGCACACTGTTATTGTCCGACTCGCAGCACTTGTTTATGCCACTTAGTTGGAAATACAGTAGATGTTGTAGTACTTTTTTTTTAATATTTCACATACAGGTGCTTCTCAACTTACGATGGGGTTACGTTCAGATGAACCTGTCATAAATCGACAATGTTGTGAGTCGAATACGAATGTGTTAAATAAATAAATAAATAATTACTGTAACTAAATACTAGTTTTGAAAAGTAGATAAATGAATACAAGTTATGGGCTTGTCACCTTCATGTTGGGTAATTATCTTAAGTTTCATCTCCAAAGTACACCTACCATCCGACTTACGACCTGCTCGACTTACGACCGTGTTTTTTATGCCAAATTTCTGGGAAATAAACAAGTATTTGTGTTGTACACAGTGTTTATCCTAAACCTTACAGTATAAAATACAGTACTAACAACATAAAAAGTAAATTAAAACATGAAATACCAAAATAAAACAATAAAATTAAGTCATTACAAAAATGTGATGTTGATATTCAGTAGTAAAGTTCGACTTACGACTGGTTTCTCGGAACCGAACTCGGTCGTAAGTCGGATGGTAGGTGTAATTGCTTTTGCACCATCGTAAAGCTGAAATATTTGAAGTCAAGGAGCACCTGTACTGTAGTCTTGGAGATAAATGTTATATAATACTGACATGATGAAAAAATAAGACACAAATGCAGTATATAATGTAATCCTTCATTGTCTTGATAAAACCCACTATGTGGGTGGAATGTAATCAATAAATTACTTTACTGACTTGATAAAGCCATGTGGGTGAAATGTAATCAGTAAGGGATTGCCTTATGCTGCATGTGTGTGCACTTTTTCTGTGCTGTAGTCTTGCCTTGGCAGATAAGGGATGACTGGAAGGCTTGCTCCTCCCCTACAAACCCCCCTCCTCTACACCCCCTCTCCCCATGTACATGTGTCCCCTCCCACACACACATGTCCCCTCCCCTCCCGCACACATATGCCCCCTCCCCACACACACACACACACACATGCCATATCTCCACACACACACACACAACACACACACACACACACACACACACACACACACACACACACACACACACACACACACACACATGCCATCTCCCCACACACACACACACATGCCATCTCCCACACACACACACACACACACACACACATGCCATCTCCCCACACACACACACACATGCCATCTCCCCACACACACACACACATGCTATCTCCACACACACACCTCCCTCCCCACACACATGCCTCCCTCGCACACACACATCCCCCTACATGCCCCCCCCCATCCTCTTGTATATAAAATACAAACATCTTTCACCAAATGCTGTGCACGGTTGTATTTGCCTCTTGGTACACACCTCTGTGGTTACAGGGGCCAAGTTCCAGCTCCTGGCCCTACCTCAGCTACCACCTGTTATATCTACGAGCCAAATTTAAATTTGCTCTCTTTTTGTTTGTCCTCTTTGAAATATTTGTCGGACTTTTAATAGATATTTCGCATATGCACTTTTGTTGATGCATTCATTTGTATTTTTCCGTTGCAATATTGAGCTTTCAGTTGATAAATGTTGACACAAATGTTTTGGTGCCTTTTCTTAGTGTATTTTATCAGTTTACATACTTGTGCCTGAGTGTGTGTTCAGCCGTCGAGGTACATCAGTTTGTCCAGCGAATCCTCGATACATTATATACATTGTGCCTGCATATGTGAGTGTTCAGCCATCAAGGTACATCTGTTTGTCCAGTGATGTACATTAAATACTTGATACATTATATATATTGTGGCTGCGTATGAGTGTGTTCAGCCGTCGAGGTGCAGCTGTTGGTCCAGTGATGTACAGTGAATGCTTGATGCATTGTATACAGTGGACCCCCGCCTTACAATATTAATCCATTCCTGAGAGCTCATCGTATGCCGAAATTATAGTAAGGTGAATTAATTTTCTCCATAAGAAATACTGGAAATCAAATTACCGTGCAAGATGCCCCAAAGTATGAAAAAAAATTTTTTTTTTACCACATGAAATATTAATTTTAATACACACAAACTGAAGAAGACATGCACAGTTACTGCTCTGCTAAGAATAGAATATATGACACTTACCTTTATTGAAGATCTGGTGATGATTGATGGGATGGGAGGAGGGGAGAGTGTGGAAGTTATTGTTTAGAAGGGGAATCCCCTTCCATTAGGACTTGAGGTAGCAAGTCCTTTTCTGGGGTTACTTCCCTTCTTCTTTTAATGCCACTAGGACCAACTTGAGTCACTGGACCTCTGTCGCACAACATATCTGTCCATAGAGCTGTGTACCTCTCGTTCCTTTATGATTTGTCTAAAATGGTTCACAACATTGTCATTGTAATAACACCAGAACAGCTTGCAGTAACTGTATCAGGGTGATTTTCATCCATAAAGGTTTGCAGTTCAACCCACTTTGCACACATTTCCTTAATCTCTTTTTTTCAATTCCATACTAATTCTCACCCATTTTACCACAGGGATGGCACTAGAAGCTTTCTTGGGGTCCATGGTGACTTATTTTGCAGTTACAATGCTGTATAGTCCTTGTGGCTTAGCACTTCTTTTTGATTATAATAATAATTTGCAGTTACAAGCACTAAAAACACTGGGATAATGTGAAATGTACCGAATGTATGCGTAGATGCGACCGCACTGGCTGGCTTGTAAACACTGGCGCTGAGGGCACACGTGGGATGTGTCCCGGACGAATCACGTAAGGCGAGTTTTTTAGCGTGAGGCGAGGCAAAATTTTTGCGTTAAATTGTACCATGTGGCGGATTTAACGTAATGCGATGCCATCGTAAGGCGGGGGTCCACTGCATATGTGAGTGTTTGGCTGTCGAGGTACATCTGTTTGTACAGTGAATGCTTGATACATTATATATACAGTGGACCCCCGCTTAACGATCACCTCCAAATGCGACCAATTATGTAAGTGTATTTATGTAAGTGTGTTTGTACGTGTATGTTTGGGGGTCTGATATGGACTAATCTACTTCACAATATTCCTTATGGGAACAAATTCGGTCAGTACTGGCACCTGAACATACTACTGGAATGAAAAAAGTTCGTTAACCGGGGGTCCACTGTATATTGTGCCTGCGTATGAGAGTGTTCAGCCGTCGAGGTGCATCTGTTTGTCCAGTGATGTACGTATTTCTTTTAAGGCTCCTACATATAGAGAAATTTTCATAAGTGCTATTTAAAAAGTTCATTGAAAATTGAATAGCATGTACTGTGAAGGCCTTTCTACACAATGTTCATTCTTGAATGTACTTTTTCAGTTGCATACATGAAAAATGTACTTTTTCAGTTGCATACATGAAAAATGTACTTTTTCAGTTGCATACATGAAAAATCACAAAGTACAGTTGCTGCTTGACTTATTATGGTGCGACTTAAGATATTTCAACTTTACGATGGTGTGAAAGCAATTACAGTGGACCCCTGGTTTACGATATTATTTCACTCCAGAAGTATGTTCAGGTGCCAGTACTGAACGAATTTGTTCCCATAAGGAATATTGTGAAGTAGATTAGTCCATTTCAGACCCCCAAACATACACGTACAAACACACTTACATAATTGGTCGCATTGGGAGGTGACCGTAAAGCGGGGTCCACTGTACTTTGGAGATGAAACTTAAGATAATTACCCAACATGAAGGTGACAAGTTCATAACTTGTATTCATTTATCTACTTTTCAATACTAGTATTTAGTTACAGTAATTATTTATTTATTGACAGTAGTTATTTATTAATTTATTTGGCACATATTCATTTTCGATTTACGATGTGTTTATCAGGATGTAACCCCCATTTTAAGTCAAGGACCACCTGTATATGGAGCTTCATAAGGGAGCTGACAAAATCTTCAGTCATGTTTTAGTCCATATTGAAGTGACAACCAAATTCACTTCAAGACTGTTCAACCTGCTGTCAGCAGGTATTGGTAATGGCTGGATTGTTTACGGTCCACGTAGAGCCAGTAAAGCATTTAAATTACTGGCAGTGCCTTAAATAACAAAAAAAGGCACAATACCGTGACTGGAACGATACACAAATAACCCGCACATAAAAGAGAGAAGCTTACGACGATGTTTCGGTCCGACTTGGACTATTTACAAAGTCACACTAACCAGAAGTGGAGCAGGATGGACTTGAGTCCTGGAGATGGGAAGTACAGTGTCTGCACTCTGATGGAGGGGTGTTAATGTTGCAGTTTTATAACTGTAGTGTAAGTGCGCTTCTGGCAAGACAGTGAAAGATGAAAGATTTTCTTTTTTGGGCCACCCTGCCTTGGTGGGAGATGGCCACTGTGTTAATAAATAAATATTATACATGATACACAAAGTCCGTAACATGTTTGTAAGTTGAAAACTTCTTGTACCTGGAAAGTACTCGAGAGTCTGGTCCCAAATTTTCACACTGCCATGACATACTGGAGCGAGAGAAATGGGAGGAAGTGCAAAATAAACCCAGTAAAAAGCAGGGGTGCAGTGGACATAATAAGGGAACACTGTATCAACATTCATGTCCCCAGACTATTTAATATCTTACCAGAAGATATCAGAAACACTAATGGAAGAAGTGTAGAAGTCTTTAAGAGGAAACTGACAAGTATCTTCACCAATTGCCAGATCAACCAGGCTGTGATGAATAGGGGGCAGTGAGCCTCCAGCAGCAACAGCCTGGTTGACCAGGCAGACACCACATAAGCCTGGCTTAGGACCGGGCTGCAGGGGAAAGAAAACTAGAAAAAAAAAAAAAAAATTGAAGGTAAGCCACTGGTTTGATAGTTTTAGGACCGGCTGACTGGGGGTTGAACGATCCATTTACCGAGATAAACATTTTGTTTGAAAATTGAAGATTCGTGTGGTTGGAATATGAATCTGTTTGTGTGCGCATTAGGTTAGGTTAAGTTTCTGAACAGTTGTACCAGTAGACAAGAGTACAAGTTACTGAACAATTGTATCGACTGTCTTATAAAGCTCCTCTATATACAGTCAGATTTCTAATAAAGCTCTATATAGTGCAATTTTTCAATTACAGTCACAAAAAAATATTGCATTAGAGCTTCATCAGAGCCGTTGCTGTAGCAACCGTCTTCCACTAAGACAGGGTGACCCCCAAGGAAGAAGACACATCCACCATCATTCGTATGATCACTAACACGCCATTTCAACCACCTCAATAGACTTGTCCATTACTTTCGTAATGTTGATGCGAAGACCAAAGTTCCACGATAGATGGGAACGCTTGAAGTTTTATTACCAACTTTAGGAACTCTCCCAAGGTTCCATGTTGAGGTGAATCCTATTTTCAAAGTTCCCTGTTAAGGTGAATCCTATTTTCAAAGTTCCCTGTTGAGGTGAATCCTATTTTCAAAGTTCCCTGTTAAGGTGAATCCTATTTTCAAAGTTCCCTGTTGAGGTGAATCCTATTTTCAAAGTTCCCTGTTAAGGTGAATCCTATTTTCAAAGTTCCCTGTTGAGGTGAATCCTATTTTCAAAGTTCCCTGTTAAGGTGAATCCTATTTTCAAAGTTCCCTGTTGAGGTGAATCCTATTTTCAAAGTTCCCTGTTAAGGTGAAGCCTGTTTTCAAAGTTCCCTGATAACATCGCATTCACAATAATATCGTCTTGATGCCTGTGCACTGTAAATCACATTTCCCATATGAGTTTAGCCCTTCAAAATGATTATAATAAAACTGTCTTACAAAGCTAGTCTGTATAGTGTGATGTTTTCCAAATGCAATTGAAAGAAATTGATAATTGATCCAAGAATTGAATAGCACTTGGTATGAAGGTCGTGTGATGTGCTATTTAATTTTAAATATAATTTTAAATATGCTTTTTCAATGGTATTTACCAAAAAATATATATAAGAGATGACTATATTACAATTATTACATACTATTATTATTATTATTACTAGTATTAGTACTATTATTATTACTACTACTACATTATACATGTACTACTATTTATTATTACTATTATTATTATTATTATTATTATTATTATTATTACTACTATTATTATTATTACTACTATTATTACTACTATTTATTATTATTGTTGTAAACTATATAGGATTTATTTTAGATAAGTCTTGATTGAAAACGTAGATTGAATAGACTGTCACTGGGGAATCCCAGTCTATTATTGTGAAACTCACGAAGTCTGTTGTTGCAGAACTCTGAGCGTGGTCACCGGACGAGCGTGTATGTCTTGGTCGTCAAGGAAGAGATGGAGGAGTGGGACGAGTCCAAAGTCTTTGGTAAGAATCACTTGCGTGCGTTTTTGAGTGTCGCGAGTTAATTTTGTGTCATTTGTGATGGAGGGTTCACAGTGGTTGGTTAGTCAGAGTTCAGGAGGTGGGAAGTACATTGTGTACTCTGAAGGATGAGTGAGGACGTTATGGTTCTGGAGGTAGGAAGTACAGTACCTGTACTCTGAAGGATGAGTGAGAATGTTACAGTACTGGAGGTGGGAAGTACAGTACCTGTACTCTGAAGGATGAGTGAGAATGTTACAGTACTGGAGGTGGGAAGTACAGTACCTGTACTCTGAAGGATGAGTGAGAATGTTACAGTACTGGAGGTGGGAAGTACAGTACCTGTACTCTGAAGGATGAGTGAGAATGTTACAGTACTGGAGGTGGGAAGTACAGTACCTGTACTCTGAAGGATGAGTGAGAATGTTACAGTACTGGAGGTGGGAAGTACAGTACCTGTACTCTGAAGGATGCCTGAGAATGTTACAGTACTGGAGGTGGGAAGTACAGTACCTGTACTTTGAAGCATGAGTGAGAATGTTACAGTACTGGAGGTGGGAAGTACAGTACATGTACTCTGAAGGATGAGTGAGGATGTTACAGTACAGGAGGTGGGAAGTACAGTACATGTACTCTGAAGGATGAGTGAGAATGTTACAGTACTGGAGGTGGGAAGTACAGTACATGTACTCTGAAGGATGAGTGAGGATGTTACAGTTCTGGAGTAGGAAGTACAGTGCCTGTACTCTGAAGGATGAGTGAGAATGTTACAGTACTGGAGGTGGGAAGTACAGTACCTGTACTCTGAAGGATGAGTGAGAATGTTACAGTACTGGAGGTGGGAAGTACAGTACCTGTACTCTGAAGGATGAGTGAGAATGTTATGGTTCTGGAGGTGGAAAGTACAGTACCTGTACTCTGAAGGATGAGTGAGGATGTTATGGTTCTGGAGGTGGAAAGTACAGTACCTGTACTCTGAAGGATGAGTGAGGATGTTATGGTTCTGGAGGTGGGAAGTACAGTACCTGTACTCTGAAGGATGAGTGAGGATGTTATGGTTCTGGAGGTGGGAAGTACAGTACCTGTACTCTGAAGGATGATGTGAGGATGTTATGGTTCTGGAGGTGGGAAGTACAGTGCCTGTACTCTGAAGGATGAGTGAGGATGTTATGGTTCTGGAGGTGGAAAGTACAGTACCTCTACTCTGAAGGATGAGTGAGGATGTTATGGTTCTGGAGGTGGGAAGTACAGTACCTGTACTCTGAAGGATGAGTGAGGATATTATGGTTCTGGAGGTGGGAAGTACAGTACCTGTACTCTGAAGGATGAGTGAGAATGTTACAGTACTGGAGGTGGGAAGTACAGTACCTGTACTCTGAGGATGAGTGAGAATGTTACAGTACTGTAGGTGGGAAGTACAGTACCTGTACTCTGAAGGATGAGTGAGGATGTTACAGTTCTGGAGTAGGAAGTACAGTGCCTGTACTCTGAAGGATGAGTGAGGATGTTACAGTTCTAGAGTAGGAAGTACAGTGCCTGTACTCTGAAGGATGAGTGAGAATGTTACAGTTCTAGAGTAGGAAGTACAGTACCTGTACTCTGAAGGATGAGTGAGGATGTTACAGTTCTGGAGTAGGAAGTACAGTGCCTGTACTCTGAAGGATGAGTGAGAATGTTACAGTACTGGAGGTGGGAAGTACAGTACCTGTACTCTGAAGGATGAGTGAGAATGTTACAGTACTGGAGGTGGGAAGTACAGTACCTGTACTCTGAAGGATGAGTGAGAATGTTATGGTTCTGGAGGTGGAAAGTACAGTACCTGTACTCTGAAGGATGAGTGAGGATGTTATGGTTCTGGAGGTGGAAAGTACAGTACCTGTACTCTGAAGGATGAGTGAGGATGTTATGGTTCTGGAGGTGGGAAGTACAGTACCTGTACTCTGAAGGATGAGTGAGGATGTTATGGTTCTGGAGGTGGGAAGTACAGTAACCTGTTACTCTGAAGGATGAGTGAGGATGTTATGGTTCTGGAGGTGGGAAGTACAGTGCCTGTACTCTGAAGGATGAGTGAGGATGTTATGGTTCTGGAGGTGGAAAGTACAGTACCTCTACTTGAAGGATGAGTGAGGATGTTATGGTTCTGGAGGTGGGAAGTACAGTACCTGTACTCTGAAGGATGAGTGAGGATATTATGGTTCTGGAGGTGGGAAGTACAGTACCTGTACTCTGAAGGATGAGTGAGAATGTTTACAGTACTGGAGGTGGGAAGTACAGTACCTGTACTCTGAAGGATGAGTGAGAATGTTACAGTACTGTAGGTGGGAAGTACAGTACCTGTACTCTGAAGGATGAGTGAGGATGTTACAGTTCTGGAGTAGGAAGTACAGTGCCTGTACTCTGAAGGATGAGTGAGGATGTTACAGTTCTAGAGTAGGAAGTACAGTGCCTGTACTCTGAAGGATGAGTGAGAATGTTACAGTTCTAGAGTAGGAAGTACAGTACCTGTACTCTGAAGGATGAGTGAGGATGTTACAGTTCTGGAGTAGGAAGTACAGTGCCTGTACTCTGAAGGAATGAGTGAGAATGTTACAGTACTGGAGGTGGGAAGTACAGTACCTGTACTCTGAAGGATGAGTGAGAATGTTACAGTACTGGAGGTGGGAAGTACAGTACCTGTACTCTGAAGGATGAGTGAGAATGTTATGGTTCTGGAGGTGGAAAGTACAGTACCTGTACTCTGAAGGATGATGTGAGGATGTTATGGTTCTGGAGGTGGAAAGTACAGTACCTGTACTCTGAAGGATGAGTGAGGATGTTATGGTTCTGGAGGTGGGAAGTACAGTACCTGTACTCTGAAGGATGAGTGAGGATGTTATGGTTCTGGAGGTGGGAAGTACAGTACCTGTACTCTGAAGGATGAGTGAGGATGTTATGGTTCTGGAGGTGGGAAGTACAGTGCCTGTACTCTGAAGGATGAGTGAGGATGTTATGGTTCTGGAGGTGGAAAGTACAGTACCTGTACTCTGAAGGATGAGTGAGGATGTTATGGTTCTGGAGGTGGGAAGTACAGTACCTGTACTCTGAAGGATGAGTGAGGATATTATGGTTCTGGAGGTGGGAAGTACAGTACCTGTACTCTGAAGGATGAGTGAGAATGTTACAGTACTGGAGGTGGGAAGTACAGTACCTGTACTCTGAAGGATGAGTGAGAATGTTACAGTACTGTAGGTGGGAAGTACAGTACCTGTACTCTGAAGGATGAGTGAGGATGTTACAGTTCTGGAGTAGGAAGTACAGTGCCTGTACTCTGAAGGATGAGTGAGGATGTTACAGTTCTAGAGTAGGAAGTACAGTGCCTGTACTCTGAAGGATGAGTGAGAATGTTACAGTTCTAGAGTAGGAAGTACAGTACCTGTACTCTGAAGGATGAGTGAGGATGTTACAGTTCTGGAGTAGGAAGTACAGTACCTGTACTCTGAAGGATGAGTGAGAATGTTACAGTTCTAGAGTAGGAAGTACAGTACCTGTACTCTGAAGGATGAGTGAGGATGTTACAGTTCTGGAGTAGGAAGTACAGTACCTGTACTCTGAAGGATGAGTGAGAATGTTACAGTACTGGAGGTGGGAAGTACAGTACCTGTACTCTGAAGGATGAGTGAGAATGTTACAGTTCTAGAGTAGGAAGTACAGTACCTGTACTCTGAAGGATGAGTGAGGATGTTACAGTTCTGGAGTAGGAAGTACAGTACCTGTACTCTGAAGGATGAGTGAGGATGTTACAGTTCTGGAGTAGGAAGTACAGTACCTGTACTCTGAAGGATGAGTGAGGATGTTACAGTTCTGGAGTAGGAAGTACAGTACCTGTACTCTGAAGGATGAGTGAGAATGTTACAGTACTGGAGGTGGGAAGTACAGTGCCTGTACTCTGAAGGATGAGTGAGAATGTTACAGTACTGGAGGTGGGAAGTACAGTGCCTGTACTCTGAAGGATGAGTGAGAATGTTACAGTACTGGAGGTGGGAAGTACAGTGCCTGTACTCTGAAGGATGAGTGAGAATGTTACAGTACTGGAGGTGGGAAGTACAGTGCCTGTACTCTGAAGGATGAGTGAGAATGTTACAGTACTGGAGGTGGGAAGTACAGTGCCTGTACTCTGAAGGATGAGTGAGAATGTTACAGTACTGGAGGTGGGAAGTACAGTGCCTGTACTCTGAATGATGAGTGAGGATGTTACAGTACTGGAGGTGGGAAGTACAGTGCCTGTACTCTGAAGGATGAGTGAGACTGTTACAGTACTGGAGGTGGGAAGTACAGTACCTGTACTCTGAAGGATGAGTGAGAATGTTACAGTACTGGAGGTGGGAAGTACAGTACCTGTACTCTGAAGGAATGAGTGAGAATGTTACAGTACTGGAGGTGGGAAGTACAGTACCTGTACTCTGAAGGATGAGTGAGAATGTTACAGTACTGGAGGTGGGAAGTACAGTGCCTGTACTCTGAAGGATGAGTGAGAATGTTACAGTACTGGAGGTGGGAAGTACAGTGCCTGTACTCTGAAGGATGAGTGAGGATGTTACAGTACTGGAGGTGGGAAGTACAGTGCCTGTACTCTGAAGGATGAGTGAGAATGTTACAGTACTGGAGGTGGGAAGTACAGTGCCTGTACTGAAGGATGAGTGAGAATGTTACAGTACTGGAGGTGGGAAGTACAGTACCTGTACTCTGAAGGATGAGTGAGAATGTTACAGTACTGGAGGTGGGTAGTACAGTACCTGTACTCTGAAGGATGAGTGAGAATGTTACAGTACTGGAGGTGGGAAGTACGTACCTGTACTCTGAAGGATGGAGTGAGAATGTTACAGTACTGGAGGTGGGAAGTACAGTACCTGTACTCTGAAGGATGAGTGAGAATGTTACAGTACTGGAGGTGGGAAGTACAGTACCTGTACTCTGAAGGATGAGTGAGGATGTTACAGTACTGGAGGTGGGAAGTACAGTACCTGTACTCTGAAGGATGAGTGAGAATGTTACAGTACTGGAGGGGGAAGTACAGTAACCTGTACTCTGAAGGATGAGTGAGAATGTTACAGTACTGGAGGTGGGAAGTACAGTACCTGTACTCTGAAGGATGAGTGAGAATGTTACAGTACTGGAGGTGGGAAGTACAGTGCCTGTACTCTGAAGGATGAGTGAGAATGTTACAGTACTGGAGGTGGGAAGTACAGTACCTGTACTCTGAAGGATGAGTGAGAATGTTACAGTACTGGAGGTGGGAAGTACAGTGCCTGTACTCTGAAGGATGATGTGAGAATGTTACAGTACTGGAGGTGGGAAGTACAGTACCTGTACTCTGAAGGATGAGTGAGAATGTTACAGTACTGGAGGTGGGAAGTACAGTACCTGTTGCCTTCTGCTGCTGCTATTACTATTATCATTACCATTATTGTTTTTTTTTTAAATGCCGGCCGTTTCCCACCATGGCAGGGTCACCCTAAAAGAAAGAAAAATAACTTTCATCATTCAACACTTTCACCATCACTCATACATAATCACTGTCTTTGCAGAGATACTCAGATATGACAGTTTAGAAGTCCCTCCAAACTGTCAATATCCCAAACCCCTCCTTTGAAGTGCAGGCGTTGTACTTCCCATTTCCAGGACTCAAGTCTGGCTGGCGTTGTACTTCCCATTTCCAGGACTCAAGTCTGGCTAACTGGTTTCCCTGAATCCCTTCACAAAATATTACCCTGCTCACACTCGAACAGCTCGTCAGGTCCCAAAAACCATTCGTCTCCATTCACTCATCTAACACGCATGCTTGCTGGAAGTCAAAGCCCCTCGCCCACAAAACCACGTTTACCCCCCCCCCTCCAACCTTTTCAAGGACGACCCATACCCAGCCTTCCTTTCCCTACAGATTTATACACTCTCCAAGTCATTCTACTTTGTTCCCTTCTCTCTCAATGACCAAACCACCTCAACTATAGTAGTAGTAGTAATAATAGTAGCAGTAATAATGGTAGTAATACTGTTGAGGTACTGGTGAAGTATTAGTATTATTACTACTACTACTGTTATTACTACTACTATTATTACTATTAGTATTACAAGCTTAGCATCAAACCTAAACGTTAAATTAATCAGTCACTTGACTACCCTCACTGCCTTCCACCCTGGATGCAACCTTCATTTATCTTCAGTGATCAACTGAGTTATTAATGCAGAGCGGAATCTTTGAGATGAAATATTGGGCCTTAACCCTTTCAGGGTCCACAGGCCCTCTTTGAGACTTGTTCTCAGGGTCCCCCAAATTTAAAAAAAAAAAAAAATAATTTTTTCTCATGAAGAGATAGAGAATCTTTTTTCCGATCATAATGACACCAAAAGTACGAAATTTGATGGAAAACTTACGGAATTATGCTCTCGTGAAGTTAGCGGTCTCGACGATGTTTATGCATCAGCGATTTTGCCCACTTTGAGCCCTATTTTCGGCCAATTCCAGTGTATACTAGTCGACAAAAATCATAACTATTTCGCTAGAACTCCATTTTTTCTATCGAATGAGTACAAGAAACCACCCATTTACCGATTTCAACTATCCAATACAGTGGTCAGAATTTAGCAATTTTGCCAATTTCACACAAATTTCAAAAGATGCCAATTTCCGAATAGGGTCCAGAATAAACAAGAAAGATATTCCTGGCACTAAAATAACATTTCCTCTGTTCATTAGTCACGTCCCCAGGCCCCTCTTACATTTCTTTTGCTTTTCACTTTGAACTTTTATTCTCATAAAAAAATAGAAGATTTACTGTTACGCAGACTACTGCATTAGTGTAGAAATGGTATAAATAATATCAGCGCACTTGTGAAAGAATATTAGACTCACCAGTTGACGTGTATTGGACGCTTAGCATGATTTGTTTACTTTTGAACTTTGATAAAAATCGAACATTTCTGCTACTTTGAGCTCAATTTCAAGGTACTTTTCATTGTGAAACCAGTCAAAATCATCTCAATTTCTGTAATATGTCTTCCATTCTATAAAATGAGACCAGGAAAACTAGAATACAACAATAAATACCATACAAAAATACACTGCAAAGTCGCTGTTTTAATCCAAAAACACGGTCAAAGTTTTTTTTTTCTCATTATGCACTGTGTGCTGCAGGATTGTTTTTATACTGTGCACACTGACCACATAGACCCCTTCTTTCATATGTAGGCCTACCAGCTTTCTCTCACTAGATTTGAGGGCGCTTGAATTTAGGCATACTAGTACGTCATGGACACTGGTGCGTAAGCCGTACTAGTGCGGCCGAAACCCTGAAAGGGTTAAGGATGATGTGCATAATCTTTCATTTAATCTGTCTTTCTGATAATTGCATTTTTGTTGTCTTTTTTTTTTATTTTGTTTTTGAAAACTGAAATATCAGCAGTGAATTCTACATTTTGTAATGGGATTTTTTTTTGACAATTGATTCAGTATATTTTTTATACTTGTACTACTCTTCCCTCTTCCCCAGAGATGCAGTCAGTTGGGAAACACCCAATATTACAGTGGCGCACGCTTTTTACAGGTCGGAAACGGAAGTGGTTCAGCATGGAGGAGGCGGTGAAACAGCTGGCCAAGCACAAGCCAGTTCAGAGCAGCTACGTCAGTCTCCTCCTGCCCGACCGCGACCACACCACCACCATCACACACTCACCGTCCAGTTGCCAGAACACCATCACACCTCCACCGCCCCTCTCCACCATCATAGACCACCAGGTGGAAATGGTCCGGCAGATGGAACTCGGTTCCGAGATGGAGAACGACATCAAGGAAGACGACACGGCAGAATCGGACGGGGAGCCGAGCAAGAGTCCCGGGTCGTCGCAGGAGGACTTGAGCAATGGAATCGTGGCAGAAGACGCTGCCGCCGACACATAAACACCTGCCATCCCTCATTCACCTCATAATTACGATCACTAGTTTCACATACATACTGCCATATATTGTTTTATCATCTCATTACCTAATTTAAAATGTATTTTACATAGTTTCCTATTTGATATTAACATCCCCTTAAGTCATTTTCATAAACTTTTTCATAATTGGCTGAATTTGTTTAAGATTAATGACATTGTTATCGTATACACTGCTGACTTTACCATCGTAAAAAATTTTTGACCAGATTTGTTACTAAAATTCCTTTGTGTGGAGCCCTTTCTCTAATTCACGTCTCTTTTTTTTTTTTTTTTTTTTCCCCATCAATGTTTAATTTTTCCTTTGTTTAGGTCTTGAACTTAGATTTATGTCGACAAAATTTCGTGTACAGTAGGTCCTTGACTTACAAACACATTGGGGACCTCCAGAATTGTGTATAATATTCGTAATACAGGAAGTCTTCAACTTAGGAACACGTTGGGGACCTGTATTGTGTATAAAAATATACACAGTACACAAGATTCTCAATGTGCTAATAAGTTGAGAACTAACTGTAATACTGTGTCTTATGCCACAGCTTTCCTACTGTGTTTTATGCCACAGCTTTCCTACTGTGCGTTGTCTTCTGTGAGTCAGTCTTGCCCAGTCAACTCATTCTACCAACTTTCTCATTCAATATAGGTTTGTATATTGTTCTGGATCTTGTTTTTAATATATAAAGCTATTCTATACAGTGGAATTTTTTGCAAATGCAGTTGAAAAAAATGCAGCCAAAATTAAATAGCACATACTATGGGGGTCTTTTCACAAACTGTTATATTTTGGATATGCAATCTTTCAGTTGCATTTGCAACAACGAAAATGGCACTACATAGATGAGCTTTATAAGAATAGACTGCGTTCTTGGTTGCCCTTGTTTACATCTATCCTCGTTTCTGTCTTCTTTTGTATCCTTTAGCTTTTCTCTGTGACATGAACTGGTCTGAAGCTATTAACTGTGTCACAATGTTTGAAATTTTGTTCGATATAATGTTTAAATTTATATCAATAAGTTCGAGAAACGAGCCGTTTCCCTGTACAGATACGCTTATTTATTGTTATTTGTTTATAATTGCCGTAAGTTATCTTATAGACCTTTTCTGTAGTGCATTTTTTTGTAACTGCAATTGAAAAAGTGCATCCAAATTTGAATAATATGTGGAAGGGCCTTTATAGTATGGGCTATTCAAGAAAGAACAAAAAAGGCACAATACCGTGACTGGAACAATACACAAATAACCCGCACAGAGAGAGGAACTTAGGACGACATTTCGGTTCGACTTGGATCATTTACAAAGTCCCTCACTCCTTTGTGTTGTGTGACTTTATAAATGGTCCAAGTTTCTCTTTAAGTGCAGGTTGTGTATGTTATTTTGAATGCACTTTTTGAACTGCATTTGCAACTAAATCACATTATATAGATTAGCTTTATAGGAGCTGACTGGACTTGATTTCATTCTTGTTTACCCATGATCCTATTGGCCAGAATGATCAGTACCAACTCCCGAGGCATATCTCACGTGTATGTCTGTTGCTGTACGTTAATATTCTCAAGTTTAGGTTAACTAGTTCCTGGGTATTAAGATGTTAACTGTGTTATAATTTCCTCTGAATCTGTGGAGACGCCGAGAGGTTTGAAGAGCGTGTTATAATTTTGAGATGTTTGTGAAAGATGCTAGAGTATGGCCCTCACTAGTCATAGATAAAAAGCTGCGAACAGCAGTTATCACTACAGTATTGTGAATACTTTGTACACAATTTTGTATACTCTGACATTTTCTTTTTAGTGAATGTTAAGAATAATGAATAGTGTAATGAACACTTGTAAATGCTCAGTAATAACCCACATTTGGACAGAAACTCGAGAGATTAATTGATGAAAATAAATGGTATAAAATACCGACACACTGGAAACATAAACACATATGCAGTTTAATGTGATCCTTTATTGACAACGTTTTGCCCACACAGTGGGCTTTTTCAAGTCACACACAGACTTGAAAACGCCCACTGTGTGGGCGAAACGTTGTCAATAAAGGATCACATTAAACTGCATATGTGTTTGTTTCCAGATTAATTGATCTGTATATTTTGACCCCATTCTGGGATCCTCATCTGCTGAAGAGGGTTGAAATATACAAACCAATTCTTCCGAGTTCCTGTGTCCATGCGAGTTATTATTGAACATAAAAAATAATAATTATTCTCAATAACCCACTTTGGGTCTTTGCCAGTGTCGAGAATTTTTAAGATTTTTGTTACCGTCTGAGGTCTTGAAAAATTGTATCCATCAACGCCCAAATATTATGGACACGAGTAAATCCTTAATCTTGAGATGGTCTTTCTGTTTTATATTTGATTATTTCGTGGTTTTTTGCATGTATAAAGATTTACATCCAACAAATGTCAAAATTGATGAGGTTACTCTAAATTTGATTCTCTTTTGAAAGTTGTAGCATACCTTGGTAACGAAAATCTATTGAAATATTAGATAGTTGGTAGCTAGATTTACCAATTCTCAACTTTCACCTCTTACACAGTTGTCTAACAGTGCCCACCACTGTATTGTGGGATATGTAATACCCTGCAGGGGTTTTCAGTCATTGTCAAGAACTACACTGAAATCTTCCCAGTGTGATGATTATAATATAATCAAAAAGCAGCGCTAAGCCACAAGGGCTATACGGCGCTGCAATGATTATAATAATCTCGGTGTGATGCAGTTGTGCTCACACCGTACAACTGAGCAGGCCACCTTGCTTGCATTATGTATGTGCAATATTGGTCAACACTGTTGTTCTCTTAAGTTAACCGAGAATGATCAAGACTATTGTTCTTTTGAGTTAAGAGGCTGTGAGCTCTTATCTACTTCTCTAGCAGGAGCTGTTAATTTGTTCCTTTGATGTTCATTTAGAACACAATTTTTCATGTGTGAACCATTTGTGTGTCAGGAATCTTACATTAGCAGAGGAGATACTCTTACATAGGTGAATGTCATGTAAATGGCTTTCGGTATATGTTCTGGATGTGGTAAGAAATCTTGCAGGCTAACGAGTGGTACCATTTGAATGAACCAAAAAAAACTTTGTGTATTATTGGTATGTCAGCCTATTTTGTGAGTAGGCTCAAGTTTTTCATTTTTTGCCTATATTCGTCGTTTTACTTATAGGTGATACATGCCTATGAGGTGTATCATAACTGATATTGAACTTCCTTCAACCTAAGTGGTATCCACTAAAGTGTGAACACGTTTGCGTATGTGGCAGCAGCTCAGAGTTGCAGCCAGAGGACACCTGTGCATAATCCTGACAGATTCTTGGATTTCTCAGCTTAATACTTTACTGTACTCACAGTAGATCATTATTTTTGTCTTCAATATCAGCCAAGGTATTTTGCTCTCTCAATTATGTTACGTTTTCAAGTAATAAACAAAATTTTTCATCTATATATAACATGTCTTTGTAAACCTTACATAAACAAATGAATTTAAAAAAAATGGAGCGCTGTTTGACCCTTATGGGTTTAGCACTTGGTTATAATTATAATGTACGAAGTGCAGTACTGTATATAGGCACTCAAACGGCCGCTCAGACTTGTGTACAGTATACAGTACACTACTGTATATTATTATTATTACAATATACAGTACACTACTGTATAAACATTTTAAAATATACCAGAAATGTTATAAATGGTGCAAAGGTGACATTAAAACAATATCTAATGATAGTTGACACAAACTCACTACCAATTCGCTTAACCCTTAAACGGTCCAAGCAAACGTATATATACGTTCTCTTGTGCAGCGCCCCCAATTTTTTTTTTTTTTTCAACAAGTCGGCCGTCTCCCACCGAGGCAGGGTGACCCAAAAAAGAAAATCCCCAAAAAGAAAATACTTTCATCATCATTCAACACTTTCACCACACACACACATTATCACTGCTTTTGCAGAGGTGCTCAGAATAATATACATATAAAGATACACAACATATCCCTCCAAACTGCCAATATCCCAAACCCCTCCTTTAAAGTGCAGGCATTGTACTTCCCATTTCCAGGACTCAAGTCTGACTATATGAAAATAACCGGTTTCCCTGAATCCCTTCACTAAATATTACCCTGCTCACACTCCAACAGATCGTCAGGTCCCAAGTATCATTCATCTCCATTCACTCCTAACACGCTCATGCACGCTTGCTGGAAGTCCAAGCCCCTCGCCCACAAAACCTCCTTTACCCCCTCTTTCCAACCCTTTCGAGGACGACCCCTACCCCTCCTTCCTTCCTCTATAGATTTATATGCTTTCCATGTCATTCTACTTTGATCCATTCTCTCTAAATGACCAAACCACCTCAACAACCCCTCTTCTGCCCTCTGACTAATGCTTTTATTAACTCCACACCTTCTCCTAATTTCCACACTCCGAATTTTCTGCATAATATTTACACCACACATTGCCCTTAGACAGGACATCTCCACTGTCTCCAACCGTCTCCTCGCTGCTGCATTTACCACCCAAGCTTCACATCCATATAAGAGTGTTGGTACTACTATATCTTCATACATTCCCTTCTTTGCCTCCATAGATAACGTTTTTTGACTCCACATATACCTCAACGCACCACTCGCCTTTTTTCCCTCATCAATTCTATGATTAACCTCATCCTTCATAAATCCATCCGCCGACACGTCAATTCCCAAGTATCTGAAAACATTCACTTCTTCCATACTCCTCCTCCCCAATTTGATTTCCAATTTTTCTTTATCTAAATCATTTGATACCCTCATTACCTTACTCTTTTCTATGTTCACTTTCAACTTTCTACCTTTACACACATTCTCAAACTCATCTACTAACCTTTGCAATTTTTCTTTAGAATCTCCCATAAGCACAGTATCATCAGCAAAAAGTAACTGTGTCAATTCCCATTTTGAATTTGATTCCCCATAATTTAATCCCACCCCTCTCCCGAACACCCTAGCATTTACTTCTTTTACAACCCCATCTATAAATATATTAAACAGCCATGGTGACATTACACATCCCTGTCTAAGACCTACTTTTACCGGGAAAGTATTTTTCCCTCTCTTCTACACACCCTAACCTGAGCCTCACTATCCTCATAAAAGCTCTTTACAGCATTTAGTAACTTACCATCTATTCCATATACTTGCAACATCTGCCACATTGCTCCCCTATCCACTCTATCATATGCCTTTTCTAAATCCATAAATGCAATAAAAACTTCCTACCTTTATCTAAATACTGTTCACATATATGCTTCAATGTAAACACTTGATCTACACATCCCTACCCACTCTGAAACCTCCTGCTCATCTGCAATCCTACATTCTGTCTTGCCTCTAATTCTTTCAATTATAACCCTACCGTATACTTTTCCTGGTATACTCAATAAACTTATTCCTCTATAATTTTTACAATCTCTTTTGTCCCCTCTCCCTTTATATAAAGGGACTATACACGCTCTCCGCCAATCCCTAGGTACCTTCCCCTCTTTCATACATTTATTAAACAAAAGTACCAACCACTCCAACACTATATCCCCCCCTGCTTTTAACATTTCTGTCATGATCCCATCAGTTCCAGCTGCTTTACCCCTTTCATTCTACGTAATGCCTCACGTATCTCCACCACACTTACATTCTGCTCTTCTTCACTCCTAAAAGATGGTATACCTCCCTGACCAGTGCATGAAATTACCGCCCCCCTTTCTTCCTCAACATTTAAAAGTTCCTCAAAATATTCTCGCCATCTACCTAATACCTCCCTCTCCCCATCTACTACTCCCCTACTCTGTTTTTAACGGACAAATCCATACTTTCCCTAGGCTTTCTTAACTTGTTTAACTCACTCCAAAATTTTTTCTTATTTTCATTAAAATTTCTTGACAGTACCTCTCCCACTCTATCATCTGCTCTCCTTTTGCACTCTCTCACCACTCTCTTCACCTTTCTTTTACTCTCCATATACTCTGCTCTTCTTATAACACTTCTGCTTTGTAAAAACCTCTCGTAAGCTACCTTTTTCTCTTTTATCACACCCTTTACTTCATCATTCCACCAATCACTCCTCTTTCCTCCTGCCCCCACCCTCCTATAACCACAAACTTCTGCCCCACATTCTAATACTGCATTTTTAAAACTATTCCAACCCTCTTCAACCCCTCCATTGCTCATACTTGCACTAGCCCACCTTTCTGCCAATAGTTGCTTATATCTCACCCGAACTTCTTCCTCCCTTAGTTTATACACTTTCACCTCCCTCTTACTTGTTGTTGCCACCTTCCTCTTTTCCCATCTACCTCTTACTCTAACTGTAGCTACAACTAAATAATGATCCGATATATCAGTTGCCCCTCTATAAACATGTACATCCTGGAGCCTACCCATCAACCTTTTATCCACCAATACATAATCTAACAAACTACTTTCATTACGTGCTACATCATACCTTGTATTTGTTTATCCTCTTTTTCATAAAATATGTATTACTTATTACCAAATTTCTTTCTACACATAGCTCAATTAAAGGCTCCCCATTTACATTTACCCCTGGCACCCCAAATTTACCTACTATTCCCTCCATAACATTTTTACCCACTTTAGCATTGAAATCCCCAACCACCATTACTCTCACACTTGATTCAAAACTCCCCAAGCATTCACTCAACATTTCCCAGAATCTCTCTCTCTCCTCTACACTTCTCTCTTCTCCAGGTGCATACACACTTACTATAACCCACTTTTCACATCCAATCTTTATTTTACTCCACATAATCCTTGAATTTATACATTTGTAGTCCCTCTTTTCCTGCCATAGCTTATCCTTCAACATTATTGCTACTCCTTCTTTAGCTCTAACTCTATTTGAAACCCCTGACCTAATCCCATTTATTCCTCTCCATTGAAACTCTCCCACCCCCTTCAGCTTTGTTTCACTTAAAGCCAGGACATCCAGCTTCTTCTCATTCATAACATCCACAATCATCTCTTTCTTATCATCTGCACAACATCCACGCACATTCAGACTTCCCACTTTGACAATTTTCTTCTTCTTATTCTTTTAGTAATTATTACAGGAAAAGGGGTTACTAGCCCATTGTTCCCGGCATTTTAGTTGACTTTTACAACACGCATGACTTACGGAGGAAAGATTCTTATTCCACTTCCCCATGGATATAAAAGGAAAAGTAATAAGACCAAGAACTATTAAGATAAAATCAAAGAAAACTCAGATGAGTGTGTATAAATAAACGTGTACATGTATGTGTAGTGTGACCTAAGTGTAAGTAGAAGTAGCAAGACGTACCTGTAATCTTGCATATTTATGAGACAGACAAAAGACACCAGCAATCCTACCATCATGTAAAACAATTACAGGCTTTCGTTTTACACTCACTTGGCAGGACGGTAGTACCTCCCTGGGTGGTTGCTGTTTACCAACCTACTACCAAATACAGTGGACCCCTGCATAACGATTACCTCCCAATGCGACCAATTATGTAAGTGTATTTATGTAAGTGCGTTTGTACGTGTATGTTTGGGGGTCTGAAATGGACTAATCTACTTCACAATATTTCTTATGGGAACAAATTCGGTCAGTACTGGCACCTGAACATACTTCTGGAGTGAAAAAATATCGTTAACCGGGGGTCCACTGTATTTTGAAAAAAAAAAATGGGAAAAAAAGAGAACACTTTTTTGAGTGTTTTAGAATAAAAAAAATTAGGGTCAGTACTTGCAGACATATGAGGCCGAGAAGTTGGCACTGGATGCTCATGTGATGGCAACATGGAGTCCTGCCAA